CCTTGCACAGATCCCTGAACAGCAAAACCTCCCCGTGTCTCTTGTCCGAGCCCGGGCATTGAACTCCATTGAACCCTTCCGTCCTGCAATGGCACTGGGCAGGGAGAGGGGACGCGGCCACCTGCATCCCTGGCGGCGAGACCTTCGCTCTCCTCTTTCTTCATGCTGCTGCTGTTATTCCGTGCTATGTCAAGGATGGAACAAAAGGCCTCCAACCCCCTGAAAAAGCTCAGTGCCCAGGAGAAACCCTGACCCCTGCCGTTGGAATCACTGGCGTGCTGGCGAGATATGATGGGGAAAGGGGCTGTCTGAATGGCCAAGGGGGGGGATGAATCTGCAGCCATGGCATGAACCACAGACACACGCTCCTCACGCTCCAGCCAGGAGGGAGACCGGCAGGAATGCCCGCTGGTCAGCCCTGGACCCACTCGCACACCCGCCCAGCCGTGAGGCTGCCGGGGAAGCTGGTCTGAGCAAAGAACGGGCAAGGAGCGTGCGGTGAGAACAGAGCCACGGCACAGAGAGACCAGCCTGGGAGCCCGGGACCTGTGGCCGAGTGGTTAAGGTGCTCGAGTGTCCATCCCTCGGGGTCTCCCTGCGCGGGTTTGAATCCGGCCAGCCGCGGAAGTGCTCGAGTCGGGCGGCCTGCAGTTTTACTGCCTGAGCATCCCTCAGGCCAACCCGCGCCAGGCTGGGCCTGACTCTTGGGCTGTCTACACTTAAAACATCACAGCACTTCCCAGTCGCCGCTCACTGCGGGGATGGGAGGAGTGGTCCTGTCCCTCTAGTTAATTCACTTCCCCGTGGGGTTAACAGAGGAAGTCTTCCATCCACCTAGCGCTGTCTACACCAGGGCTTAGGTCAGTTTAACTACGTTGCTCAGGGGTGTGGATTTTTCACACCCCGCAAGAGACAGAGCTTTGCCAGTGTGAGTTCCCGGTGGAGACCAGCCCTTAGATCTGTCTCTTTCAGTGTGTGCAGGGAACTGCGAGAGTAAAACATCGACGCACACATACAGAGCCCGAATTCCCCAGGTTTAATCTTCCAGAAAGTCACAAAATTCAGTTCATTCTTGCATAGGGAGGGAAAATAAAGGTAATGCTATTTTTCTGATTGATTAAATGAAGTTTAGAGATTAGTTATTTCCATTAAAATTAATTACTGATTCCTCGAAACAACACCCTAGCATTAAATAAGAACAGAGACAAACCTTGACACGAAAGGCGAATTTCTCAAACGATCTGCAAAATATTATTAATTTCTAATCCGCCCCTTAGGAGATCTGGGCATCTCCAGTTTAACCGCTCTGCCTCCACCTTCCCAGGAGAAATGCCGTTCTTGGACATTCCCAGGCTCGGAAATCTGTGAAATTCAGACTATGAGCAGCAAACCTGGCTCCCCGCACCAGGAGGGATTTGGGAGTTTTGTTCCTTTCGCTTTGTCCTTTCCAATAACACAGAGAAATGTTTATGAACTGTAGGGCTGTCAAAGGATTACAAAAATTAATTGTGATTAATCTCAAGATTAAAAAAATCATCACGATTACATTTCAAATCGCACTGTTAGGCAATGTCACCAGAAAGTGAGACCAGGGGTTCGCATGGCAGTGTTGTAGCCGGCATTGCAAGGTATTTACGTGCCAGATACGCTAAACATTCGTAGGCCCCTTCGTGCTTCGGCCACCATTCCACTGTATGCTTTGGATTTTGTGCTGCAGTTGAAATCAATATATTTGAAAATGTAGAAAAACATCCAAAAATATTTATAACAAAGTTACCTTGCTATTCGGTTATTGTTTAAAAGTGTGGTTAAAACTCTGATTCATCGTGATTCATTTTTTAATTGAGTGAATTTGTTTGTTCTGAGTTAATCGCTTGAGTTAACTGAGATTAATTGACAGCCCTAATAAAAAGCCAAGCCCTCCCCTCCTCAGCCAGCCAACAAACAGGGGCGGGGGAGGGGGGGGGGGGGGAATGTGCCAGGCAGCAGAGACGGCGGAAAAAAATGAAACGACAGAAAGCCTTCACTGCAAATTCATAGCCCCTTAGCCCAAGCCTGGTGAGCCAGAGTCAGGTGAAACATGCCAGATGTGGTGACGTTTTATTGCAGTGTAGACGTATCCTAGCATCTTGTCTACACTGCGATGAGAACACCCAGGGCACCTGTCTCAAAGCCCGGGGCAGCTGGCTCAGGCTTCTGGGGCTGCAGGGCTATAAATTTACAGTGGAGACACACGGGCTTGAACCTCACGAGGGGTGAGGGTCTCCGAGCCCAGGCTCTAGCCTGAGCCCAAATATCTACCCTGCCTTTTTTAGCCCCACAGCCTGAGCCCCAGGAGCCCAAGCCAGATGAGCCAGGCCGCAGGGCTCTTCTCATAGTACAGAGGCACTCTCGGGGTGTGTCTCCAATGCAGTGTCAGCCCAGGGTGAGCAGAACGCGAGTTAGCAGCCCCTAGATTTGCTAATTTCCACCTTGCGTATCTGCAATACCTTGCTTCGGAATTGTTGAAACTGGGTCCCAAACCGGGGGACCCCCTGTCTGCACTGCACGAGGGCCCATTATTTCACCAGACGGCGAAATCAGAACAGAGACCAATTTCGTCAGTAAAAGCTAATCTCTGAAACGACCCTCCAAACGGCGTGCATTCCCACCCCCACCGGGGCTCTGTGTGCACTCCACGGGCATCTTTCCACTAGGAATCATGCTCTGGGACATCCTCAGACGTGGCCATTTCTGAAAGAGAGACTTTGAACAGCAACCCGCCCAGCCTCTTACCGCCGGGGCGAGCTCCGGGGTGACCTGGTGGCCGGACGGGAATTAAGCCCGGGGCTAGGAGACGGGCAGGGCGACCCTCGGCGGAGGAGGGTCCGCCCAGCCCCTTACCGCTCGGGTGACCTCCGGGGTGACCTGGAACCCCTCTCTGCTCACCCAGCGGGTCTTTTGGGCTTTGTTCATCCCATTTAGTCTTGTACAATGGCACAGAGAACTTCTTTTTAACAGCCAAACTTTCCTGTCCTGTCCCTCCCTGGCTAGCCAGTGAGCTGGCAAAAAGTTTCCCAGCAGCACTGACTTTGGGAAGTGTTAAATCTAAACAAGCAGCTCAGATGGGGTGGCCGAGTGGTTAAGGCGATGGACTGCTAATCCATTGTGCTCTGCACGCGTGGGTTCGAATCCCATCCCCATCGGATGGTTTTAGTCTCCTTCCCACACACCCATCTCCACGCAACACCAAACTTCACCAGCGAGCCTGCTGCATCTCGACTCCAAACACAAGCCGGCCTTATCAGGCCCACGGGGCGGGGGGCTGGCAGAGGCAGGTGTTGGATGGTTTAAATTACGCTGACAGGCACCAGGCTTGACAATCCAGCCTTAGGCAGGACCTTGCAGGGGGCAGAAATCCATGGTGGTCTATCCACCCAGGTTCAAATCTTGCCAACGACAGAAGCATTAGATTTCTGGTTTTTGCAGATCTGGTGCTTGAGCATCCTTACTCCATTTTAATCGCACTGTTAAACACTAATAGAATACCAATTGAAATGTATTATAAATACTTTTCTACATTTTCAAATACATTGATTTCAATTACAACACAGAACACAAAGTGTCCAATGCTCACTTTATATTATTATATTTCATTACAAAGATTTACACTGTCAAAAAGAGAAACAAAAGAAATCGGGGTTTTTTTTTTCAATTCCCCCCCAGACAGGTAGTGTTGTGCAATTTCTTTATTGTGAAACTGCAACTTACAGATGTAGTTTTTTGTTACATAACTGCCCTCAAAAACAAAACCATGGAAAACTTTAGCGCCCAGAAGTCCACTCAGTCCTTCTTCTTGTTCAGCCAGTTGCTCAGAGAAACAAGTTTGTTTGCATTTACGGGAGATAATGCTGCCGGCTTCTTCTTTACAGTGTCACCTGAAAGTGAGAACAAGCGTTCGCATGGCACTGTTGTGGCCGGCATTGCAAAGTATTTCATGCCAGCTATGCTCAGTGTGTGCATGCCTCTTCACGCTTCGGCCACCATCCCAGAGGACATGCATCCACGCTGACGACACTCATTTAAAAAATACTACATTTGTGACTGAACTCCTTGGGGGAGAATTGTATGTGTCCCGCTCTGTAGTTTTATCCGCATTCTGCCATGTGTTTCATGTCCTGGCAGTCTCGGATGATGAGCCAGCCCGTGTTCGTTTTAAGAACACCTTCACAGCAGAGCTGACGAAACGCAAAGGAGGTACCAATGTGAGATTTCGAAAGACAGCCACAGCACTCGACCCAAGGTTTAAGAATCTGAAGTGCCTTCCAAAATCTGAGCGGGACGGGGCATGGCGCATGCTGTCAGAAGACTTAAAAGAGCAACGCTCCAATGCGGAAACTACAGAACCCGAACCACCAAAATAGAAAATCAGCCTTCTGCTGGTGGCATCTGACTCAGCCGATGAAAATGAACGCGCCTCCGTCTGCACGGCTTTGGGGCGTTAGTTGTCACGGAGTCCCTGGGCGATGCTCTGGAACTGCTCCCCATGAAGCCAGTCAGGACTCTGGGGCAGTCGCCTTCCTGTGAGCAGCCTGTCTGCAGGACACACAGCTCACACAGCTTCCACCTTCCTGGGTCTGACCTCGGAGCATTCAGCATCCTCTGCCCCTCCGTGCGCTTTCCCCCAGCGAGTCCGCTCAGGCGGGGCTCCTGGGGAAGCCAGAGGGTCCTGCACCCCAACTTCGCAGTCAGACGTGACTCTCAGCCAGCCAGTAAAACAGAAGGTTTATTAGACGACAGGAACATGGTCTAAAACAGAGCTTGCAGGTGCAGAGAACGGGACCCCTCAGCTGGGTCCATTTTGGGGGGCAGTGAGCCAGACAACCCCGTCTGCCCTTCACTCCATGTCCCAGCCAGCCCCAAACTGAAACTCCCTCCAGCCCCTCCTCCTCTGGGCTTTGTTCCTTTCCTGGGCCAGGTGGTCACCTGATTCCTTTGTTCTCCAACCCTTCAGCTCTCACCTTGCAGGGGGGGAAGGGCCCAGGCCATCAGTTGCCAGGAAACAGGGTGTCGGCCATTCTCTGTGTCCAGACCCCTGCACACACCTGCCCTCTAGGGCTCTGCAATGATCATACACCCTTACCCCACCACCTAGATACTTAAGAACTGCATAGGGGAAACTGAGGCACCCCCACAATATTCGGAGGAAACATTAAGAACAGGCCCACTTCGTCACATCTCTCCCCCCTTCGAGATCGAACTGAGCGGGGTCACTTTAGCCGGTGACCTGGGGAAGTTCGAAGCCACCAACGTTCCCATGGATGCCCCAGCATCTCTCCCATTCCTTGGTAGGAGTTACACCAGGCCCTTCCAGTTTCACGCCCTCCCTTAGGTCGGGGGTGGTCGATAGCACTAGCAGGCTGCATGTGGGAAGGTTTCTGCAGCCCATGCCCTTTGGCCACCCCAAAAACCCAGGGGGTCAAACTGGGATTGGGTTTTCTCCCAGAGCTCCAGTCTGGAGGGCTGCAATTCGGGCTCTCTTGGTTAAGGGCTCCCATCTTGACCTGGGCCACATACTGTTCACTTACAGAACTAGCATGGAGACATCCCTTTCTCAACAACCTTGTCTCCCCAACAAGCTGGCCAAACACAGCCACTTGGTTATAGGACGGTATACCTTTCTTAACAGCTTTCACTCCATCTGAGACCTTCTCAAAGCTGTCCACACTGGATCTTTCAACAGGAAAGTCAGTGGATCCATTCACAACAGAAAATTTCTGGCTGTTAGGAACTGAAACTTTCTTGATTAAATCACTTTCACACCCTTCAGTTGCAGTAAACTGCTTGCAAAGACTCCATGAGGATTCCTTTCCCAAGGGCTTTTCTATGCAACAATTCACCCCCTCCCAGAAATTCTGCTCTTACCCTCTTTACCTAGGGCTTGCTCTAGGGGAACACTTTCCTGAGCAACAACAGACTCTTTCTGGGTCTCCCTTACATCCAGAATCACCTCTGGCCCATCAGGCGGATTCCTACACAATCCCCTTTCAGGCAAACTTACAGACTTCCTAGATAAAAGGTTGGAAGCATTCTCCTTCCCTTTGCCACACACAAGTTCAGGAATCTTTTCCTCCTTGCTACAGGTTTCCACACCCTCAGTAGGTAACACAATCACACACCTTCATGCTCTCCTTGTGCCCTGGCTAGGATCTCACCCTGATTAGACAGAGTTGCTCCACCCTTTCCAACAACACACTAGCAACAGGCAAAATACAAGCACCAGAATTGTCTGGTCTCTGGGATTTTACATAGACCCTAACTGGATGCGACCTAGTTACAGGGCCATTCTCCCGAGCAGACAGAAACTTAGGACCCTTCCCTTCCTGGGCTTTAGCTGAATCCAGAACCAGCTCTGAGACAACTGCACGACCCTCAATCATCACAGGCTGAAAGTCCCCTTCTGTCTGCTCCACAGACCAAGAAGAGCCGGACACACTTCCTCCTTTACCAGACACACAGGTTGGGATCTCTTTCCCCTTGTCCCAGCACACAAGGCTGGTCACAGACAACTGCTTGGAGATCAGGGTAGCTCCCTCCATAGGCAAGTCAATACCCCTGACAGACAGAGACCCATTTCCTTCACTGTCCCAATTCTCCACCCAGCTAACAGGTAAGGTCCAGGGACACTCATCTTCCACTCTCCTCGCCTTCCCACCCTGCTGACTAGACACAGCCATCAGCTCACAAGGCTGCCTAGGCTCATCCAAACTTTCCTTACCAAGCACCTTGCCACTCCCCACAGATCCCCTGCCCTGCCTGTGTCTCCCCCCACTCAGCTGGGGTCTCAGCTCCCACTGTGCTCAGCGCTGCCCTTGCTGTCCCAGTGGGGGCAGGCCACTGCTTTCCTCACTGCATCAGAGCCAGCGAGAGTCCCCAGTCTGGTGTGCAAGGGGGCAGGGAGCATCTCTCCGTCCCACCCAGCCCCAGGGGTCTGGTTACAGGCAGGCAGGTAGCCTGAGCCTAGCGGCTCCTCCCTGCTGCCAGCCAGGTCATCTGCATTTTCACTGACCATTTCCCTCTCTGCCGATTGGTTCCCTGGATTCAAATTCAAACCCTTGGCAGTTACAGGAGCAGGGCCTGGATCCTGTCCCAAAGAGACACAGTCACCCCACAACAGGGTCTCGCAGCTGGTGTCCTGGGGCACCCCAACGACCAGCCAGCCCCACCCCTCCTGGGTCTGCACAGGGATCTGGGCCATAGGCAGGGCGAGGGGCTTCGTCCCTGGGACCCTCACCCAGCTCACACAGGCCCTCAGCCTCTGAGGCTGCACCACCCAGGGCCTGACACCAGTTCTCTCTGTCCCAGGATCTCGCCACCCCAGGAATGTCTCCCCATTGACCATCCCCTTCCGCTCCCACTGGGGGTCCGAGGGGCCTGGCCCCAGGAAACTCCACACAGACATATAGGTCAGGAGTGGGAGCGTGTCCACCTCCCCACCCATCTGGCTGATGGAGTCTGTGGCCTTGGGACCCAGCAAGGGAGCTAGACACCGGGGCTTTTCCGCAGGGTCCCCTTGGTTCAAATCGCCAGCCTGCTCAAAGGCAGTGAGGTGGGCATCCACACACCCCCCCTCCTTAACTAGGGGCAGCAATTTAGTCTCGAGGTTCCCTGCGGAACTGGCCCCCCGGGGTCTATCCCCACTCACCCTGGGGAGGTCCCCTAGGCCTCTCCGCTCCCCCACCGCCAGTTCATGCTGCTGCTGCTTCTGCAGCTCTTTCTCGGGCTCTCGCTGTCTCCCACGGTCCTCTTGCTCTCTCGGACTCAGCTCCAATCCCGTCCGTCTCGATCCCCCGATGGGGAACCCGATCGTGAAGACCCTCGTCTGGTCGGGGACAGGAGTCTTGGGGATGCCTGGCTCCCACTCCAGCTGCTCCCAGATCCTGCTATAGCCCCAGTTGGGGTCAGGAATCTGTTCCTTAGAGCGGTCATCCTCCTCCAGCTGCACGATTAACTCTGCTTTGGTGAACTTTCCAACGCTCAACCCTCTCTTTCTGCACAGGGTTACAATGTCCTTCTTAAGGAGACGGTGACAGGCCGTCACTCCGCTCTTCCCAAGTTGTCATGGACTCACAGGCCTGTGTGCTCTCAGCTCCCCACGGTTTCCAGGGAGAACCCCTAGTGTGCCAGCCCTTCTCGAGGTCACCACCTCTTTGCCAGGGTCGAGCTGCAGACTCCTCCGCCCCTTGGACTGCTCGCTGCAATCCCCAGGGGAACCCTGTTACTGCAAAGTCCTTCTCTCTCCCCCGGGCCCAAGCTGCAGGCTCCTCCGCCCCTGAGACTGCTCACTGCAGTCCCCAGGGGGACCCCATTACTGCACAGTCCTTCTCGCTGGTCACACACTCCCAGGGGTTAACCGCCCCCCGAAACCGCTCCTCTCTGAGCCTTCAGCACGTCTGGTCCTCGTCAATCCCCCTGCGTGTTACTGCTCCCCAGTCACTTACTGCAGGAAGCGCCGTCCACGGGGTGCAGTACATCCCACCGCTGCCACCAGTTGTCACGGAGTCCCTGGGCGATGCTCTGGAACTGCTCCCCATGAAGCCAGTCAGGACTCTGGGGCAGTCGCCTTTCTGTGAGCAGCCTGTCTGCAGGACACACAGCTCACACAGCTTCCGCCTTCCTGGGTCTGACCTCGGAGCATTCAGCATCCTCTGCCCCTCCGTGTGCTTCCCACAGCCAGTCCGCTCAGGCGGGGTCCTGGGGAAGCCAGAGGGTCCTGCCCCCCAACTTCGCAATCAGACGTGACTCTCAGCCAGCCAGTAAAACAGAAGGTTTATTAGACGACAGGAACATGGTCTAAAACAGAGCTTGCAGGTGCAGAGAACGGGACCCCTCAGCTGGGTCCATTTTGGGGGGCAGTGAGCCAGACAACCCCGTCTGCCCTTCACTCCATGTCCCAGCCAGCCCCAAACTGAAACTCCCTCCAGCCCCTCCTCCTCTGGGCTTTGTTCCTTTCCTGGGCCAGGTGGTCACCTGATTCCTTTGTTCTCCAACCCTTCAGCTCTCACCTTGCAGGGGGGAAGGGCCCAGGCCATCAGTTGCCAGGAAACAGGGTGTCGGCCATTCTCTGTGTCCAGACCCCTGCACACACCTGCCCTCTAGGGCTCTGCAATGATCATACACCCTTACCCCACCACCTAGATACTTAAGAACTGCATAGGGGAAACTGAGGCACCCCCACAATATTCGGAGGAAACATTAAGAACAGGCCCACTTCGTCACACCTCCGTCTGCACGGCTTTGGGGCGTTAGCGAGCCGAACCCGTCCTCAGCAGGTGTGTGTGCATAGTTTGGCCCCATCACTGCAAGACTCCCGCAGCAGCCTCTGTCCCATTAGGGGGAGTTGAACCCCAATGTGATACCCCCCAACCTGTCCTATGACCGTCCCCTCCCCTCACGCACCCTGGAGTCACAGTGCGGGAGGGGAGCGTCACACATTGGCACAGACGCTCTGCAGAGTCAGGGTGCTGAGAAGTTACTTTCCCACTGTGGCTGAGCACAGCTGCCTGCCGTCAACCTCCCGTCACTCAGGTTCAACAAGGACAAGGGCAGGGTCCTGCACTTAGGATGGAAGAATCCCAGGCACCGCTACAGGCCGGGGACCGAATGGCTCGGCAGCAGTTCTGCAGAAAAGGACCTAGGGGTTACAGTGGACGAGAAGCTGGATCTGAGTCAGCAGTGTGCCCTTGCTGCCAAGAAGGCCAATGGCATTTTGGGCTGTATTAGTAGGATCATTGCCAGCAGATCGAGGGACATGATCGTCCCCCTCTACTCGACATTGGTGAGGCCTCATCTGGAGTACTGTGTCCAGTTTTGGGCCCCACACTACAAGAAGGATGTGGATAAATTGGAGAGAGTCCAGCGAAGGGCAACAAAAATGATGAGGGGACTGGAACACATGAGTTATGAGGAGAGGCTGAGGGAACTGGGATTGTTTAGTCTGCGGAAGAGAAGAATGAGGGGGGATTTGATAGCTGCTTTCAACTCCCTGAAAGGGGGTTCCAAAGAGGATGGATCTAGACTGTTCTCAGTGGTGGCAGATGACAGAACGAGGAGTAATGGTCTCAAGTTGCAGTGGGGGACGTCTAGGTTGGATATTGGGAAACACTATTTCACTAGGAGGGTGGTGAAGCACTGGAATGCGTTACCTAGGGAGGTGGTAGAATCTCCTTCCTTAGAGGTTTTTAAGGCCCGGCTTGACAAAGCCCTGGCTGGGACGATTTAGTCGGGGATCCGTCCTGCGTTGAGCAGGGGGTGGGACTAGATGACCTCCTGAGGTCCCTTCCAACCCTGATCGCCTGTGAGTCTACTCTACTTCCGCCTTGTATCTCGCTCTCCCAGCCTGCGTTCCTCCCCAACCCAGCCAGCCTATCTCACGGAGACCCGGCTCGCCGGGCTGCTGCCTGCCCCCTCTGCCTTAGCCAGCCCCGGCAGCTTGCAGGCCCTACCCGCTCCTGGAGCCTCTCTTTTGTGGCGTCAAACGCCCGATCTTTCAGCCGCAGCCCTGAGCTTTTCCAAGTCACCCCGACGGCTCTCAGAGCACGCTGGGCTCCTGTCTCCGGCTGCGACCGCGATTTCCATTGACCTCTGTGATGTTTTCTGCCAGCCCCTGCCCCGCAGCTCCCAGCCCCTGCCCGGGTGGGGGGACCCCGCAGCTGCCCAGCTGCCCCGGGGGCTAGGGGGACCCTGCAGCAGCCCAGCCCCATAGGCAGGGGGACCCCAGAGTTCTCATGCGCTGCAGCAGTGGGGGACCCAGGACCCCCAGCAGCCATGGGTGTGAGCCCACCTCCTCCCTTTTGTCAGGGATATTTTTCGTGAAAGCCAGGGACAGGTCACGGGCTTCCGTGAGTTTTTGTCTGTTGCCCGTGACCTGTCCCTGGCTTTTTACGAAAAATCTTTGTCACAAAACCTTAGCTGCACACAAGACGTTTTTCCGGTGGAGCCATGAGCTTGAGTCCTTGAGCTTCCTTTAAATTCAGTCTCAGAGGAAAACATTTATTCGAACAGGGTGAAATGTGTACCGAGATGTCACAGCCTCCCTCCCATGAACAGCTCTCTCTCTCTCGCTCAAGGTCCCCGTCCCCACAGCTCATGGAGAGTCGGGCCAAGGCGGGCGGGAGCTGGACAGAATCCCAGAGCCGTGTGAACGAAGGGAGGAAACGGGAACAGACTGCCCAGCTGCAGACTCTGCTCCTGGTGGGGTGGCAGAAGGCAGGAGAGGGGCAGGAGGTTTTCCCTGCTAGGAAGGAAGGACTCATACATGCTCATGGGACTTGGCTCAGGGCTGCGGGAGTTAATGGGGATGGCGGCACCCAAGGGTGCTGTTCCACGTTTTCCCACTGTCCAAAGCGCAGGGTGTCTGAGAAATATGTCAGTCCTTGCCCGTTACTTTTTCTCTGACTCAGTGAATGCAGCTGCTGCTCCCGGGCCTCTCCCAGGAAAATACCATTTCCGTGTAAATGTCTACAAGTGTAATAGAAGGGAGTGAAACGGGCCAGAACCTAAGGAAAGAAACAGCGCGCTTCTGCCCTGTGAATTCATGGAGAGTGAGTCTCCTCTTTGCCATGGGGAGGCGCCCCCCACCCTGACCCTTCCCTCCACCACCAGCCAGCACCGCCAGGGCCTGGTGCCTTCGTGGCTGTGGTGTGTGAGTGTCACTCAGCGCAAGGAGGTGGCCAGTCTCTTCCTGGCTGAGTGGCTGCGTTTACACCTGTCTCTGAGGCCTGAGTCAGGCCAGCTCGGCCCCCAGCCCCAGGCTGGCTCAGGGGCACGGGTCCCTGGGGGACCAAGGCTGTGGGCAAGGCGGGTGGCTTCTCCCTCGCTCGGATCCCCAGGCGCTCTGTGTGGGGGCACCTCGGGGTACTGTGTGCGGGCGCTTTGCGGGCAGGCAGGCTGGGTTCAGTCTCCACGGGCTGTTTCCTTGGCTGCAGCTGCCTGGCGGTGTTGGACTTCAACTCCACCAGGCCAGCTCTGTGCAGGTTTGAATGCTGCCTGCCTTAGCTGCAGAGTCCAAGCAAGGCAATGAGCAAGCCAGGGGGGACAGGGCACCCCATGCAGGAGCGAAGGGCTGTCAGCTGGAGGGGCTCGGGTGCGGCAGAGAACCCAGGACAATGGGTGGGGGGTTGGGGTTGGGGGGCGGTGCCGCAGCCCGGGGGGTGAGTGGGTCTGGAGGCCCGGCTCCCCGTGTCCCTTTAAAAAACCAGGGTCTTTCTGTGCACGGAGCTCAGGAGAGAAAATTGAGATAGACCCAGCCTGGAGTGCTTGGTAAGCCGGGTGCAAGCCAACAATCCCTGTGTAATAAGGGTAAGTTCATTCATCTAGGAACGACGAATGCAGGCCATACTCAGAGGCTGCGGGAGCCTAGCCTGGGAAGCAGCGACTCCGAAAAATAACCGAATGACACCATTTCTCTTGTAAAACAATCCTTCCTCAGAACAGCCACCAGGCAGAAGAGAGACTGCTTTTCCCAGGAGAGGCTAATGTCCCAGACCACCCTCCAGCTGGTCTGAATTCCCTCCACCCCTCTGTGAGCGCTCTGGGCCCCTGCGGTTTAATTGGTCCATGTCCATCTCCCCATTCGAAGCGCTGATTTGGACGCTGGCGGATGTGGCCATTTCCGAAATACAGACGTTGCACAGCGATCCCGTCTCTGCACCTGCAAGGGGTATTTTGGGGGGGGACGGGGACGGTGGGGGTTCATTGCACTTAGACTTCTACAATAGCGCCGAAAACTTTCTTAAATTGCCAAACGTTCCTGTCCTGGCCAGCCGGCGAGCTGGCAAAAACTTTCCCAGCAGCACTGACTTTGGGAAGTGTTAAATCTAAACAAGCGGCTCAGATGGGGTGGCCGAGTGGTTAAGGCGATGGACTGCTAATCCATTGTGCTCTGCACGCGTGGGTTCGAATCCCACCCTCGTCGGGCGCTTTTTAGGCTCCTTCCCACATGACCCTCTTCAGTTCAGTGACAGGCCCCCACACGCGCACGCCCAGAAACCTTCACAAAACAATAAACCTCCCCAGCGAACCTGCGGGATCCCTGCTCCTCTGACTCGGGAAACAAGCCGGCCTTGGCAGGCCCAGCTGCGGGCTGGTTTAATTTGCACTGACAGGCCCCAACCTGACACCGGGGCCAGCCGTGCCTCGCACCTGGGAACGGGCAGAAACGTGCCCAGTGGGAATGAATGTCACACTTTCTGATAGTCTAAGGGGACTGTTGGCCCTTTACTAAAACTCAGTGCGGGGGTTTTGCTTGGCTAGCTCCCAGTGCCAAAGGAACGGGGACGGGCGGGTGGGGAATCAGGACCCTGAGACTGACAGTCCAGGTGGAGAGGCCAACGCTTCCAGTCAGCGTGATTGACGGGGCGGGCAGGCTAACCAGAGACCTTTGCAATTTCCCCCTTATTTTTTAATTGGTCGCTGTTGAATAAATTGCATTTGCTTCGAGCTTTATGCAATGATCAGTGGGTCCGGGAAGCGCCCAGAGTGGAGAGCGCATCCCGGGGTGGGCACACCCTAGCCTCTGTGCTATGTCAAGATGGGGGGGTCGAGCCCCCCACCCAGGAATCCTGGGCCCAGCCGAGTTGGGGTTACCAGGACTCTGCCAGACGGGGGCCACTGTTGGAGAGAGAACGGCGATTTTCTTTGTACCGACCCAGGAACAGGACATGAGCCAGCTCTTTCTCCATTGCAAAGGGAACAGCACGCAAAGACCTGCTGGGGCTCAGCCAGGCTGATCCCCCGGAGCGGCTCGGCACCCCCCTGCTCCGACGGCAGCCGCTGATGGGGCTGGGCCCTCCGACAATCCTGCCCTGGGCAGGGCCGTGCAGGGGGCAGACTATGCCAAAGAATGGCTGCTTAGCAGGTAATGGTCTATCAGCTCTGCTTTCACCTGGCTGAGACAGCCTCTTACCCTTTGTCTCTGAGGAATTGGTTTGGCCACTCCCCAGAGTTGTCTGGAAAACAGACTTTTAGTCGTGATCTCAGCTTGTGTTTATAACTTCATATACAATGCTGCTATGTGCATTTTGCCAGGATATTAACTGAGTTTTTAAATGATACCTTACAAGGCACACTTTTTACAAAGGTTATTAGGGTGTAAGGTATGAATACAGTTGTATATTCTGTCAGTTACCTGCTCTATTTTTTGGAGCCCCTTTGATGAAGAATGCCTAGCTTTGTGCATTTTCAGCAGAAATGTGGATAGTTACATCCCTCATAAGCACAGTGTGTGTGGCATATTTGAGCATCCTGGGAGCTGGCCCCAGGACTTTATTGCTTTAAAATGGGCTGGGGTTAAAATAATGGAACATTCTGTGTGACAGATATCTCATGAATTCACCCAATATCCCATGTTTTCTTTCCCCTACAGCCATGGCATGAACCACAGACACACGCTCCTCACGCTCCAGCCAGGAGGGAGACCGGCAGGAATGCCCGCTGGTCAGCCCTGGACCCACTCGCACACCCGCCCAGCCGTGAGGGTGCCGGGGAAGCTGGTCTGAGCAAAGAACGGGCAAGGAGCGTGCGGTGAGAACAGAGCCACGGCACAGAGAGACCAGCCCGGGAGCCCGGGACCTGTGGCCGAGTGGTTAAGGTGCTCGAGTGTCCATCCCTCGGGGTCTCCCTGCGCGGGTTTGAATCCGGCCAGCCGCGGAAGTGCTCGAGTCGGGCGGCCTGCAGTTTTACTGCCTGAGCATCCCTCAGGCCAACCCGCGCCAGGCTGGGCCTGACTCTTGGGCTGTCTACACTTAAAACATCACAGCACTTCCCAGTCGCCGCTCACTGCGGGGATGGGAGGAGTGGTCCTGTCCCTCTAGTTAATTCACTTCCCCGTGGGGTTAACAGAGGAAGTCTTCCATCCACCTAGCGCTGTCTACACCAGGGCTTAGGTCAGCTTAACTACGTTGCTCAGGGGTGTGGATTTTTCACACCCCGCAAGAGACAGAGCTTTGCCAGTGTGAGTTCCCGGTGGAGACCAGCCCTTAGATCTGTCTCTTTCAGTGTGTGCAGGGAACTGCGAGAGTAAAACATCGACGCACACATACAGAGCCCGAATTCCCCAGGTTTAATCTTCCTGCACTTTCCGGACAGCCACAAAGTTCAGTCCACTGTTGCATCGGGAAGGGAAATAAAGGCAACGCTATTGTTATGATTAAATAAAGTTTACAGATGAGTTATTTACATTAAAATTAATTATGGATTCCTCTAAATAACACCGTATTATGACATAAGAACAGAGACAAACCTTCTCACTAAAGGCAAATTTCCAAGACGATCCGTAAAATATTATTAATTTCCAATCCTGACCCCAAGGGAGGTCTGGACATCTCCAGTTTAACTGCTCTGCATCCACCTTCCCATTAGAAATGTTGTTCTTGGACATTCCCAGACTTGGAAAACTGTGAAATTCAGACTACGAGCAGCAAACCTGGCTCCCCGCACCAGGAGGGACGTGGGAGTTTTCTTCCTTTCTCCTTACAGTCACACGGAGACAGTTTTACAAAAAGCCAAACCCTCCCCTCCTCAGCCAGCCAAGGAGCTGGGGGAGATGTTACGGGCAGTAGAGGCCACGGCAACAATTCAATGACAGCAAACCCATCCGCAAGGTGCCCAAGTAGCTAAAGCAACGGGCTGGTTCTCTCTGGTGTCATATTTGTTGGCCACTTGCACGGTTCTCGCTTCTCTCCCCAACAACCGCCTCCCTCCTTCCGTTCAACGAGAGCCCCGCCCGCATTTCCTGCTTCTCACAAAAAGCCGGTGGACACTGTGCGGGGCGCAGAGCTGCACCAGAGGGAACCAGAGAAGCACCCTGAGGTGGAGGCCGAGCCGAGGGTGACCAGACAGCAAACATGGGGTGGGGGTGGGGGTAATAGGAGCCGATATAAGAAAAAGACCCCAAAATCGGGACTGTCCCTAGAAAATCGGGACATCTGGTCCCCCTAGCAGAGCCGCAGCAGCGAGGGGGGAGAGGTGCAGGCCAGGAGGTGGGTGCATGGCTCAGATGGGGTGGCCGAGTGGTTAAGGCGATGGACTGCTAATCCATTGTGCTCTGCACGCGTGGGTTCAAATCCCATCCCCATCGGATGATTTTAGTCTCCTTCCCATACGCCCATCTTCGGTCCAGGGACAGGCCCCTACACGCATAACACGACAAACCTCACCAGCGAGCCTGCTGGATCCCTGCTTCGGAGACTCAAAACACAGGCCAGCCTTGGCAGGCCCAGGTGTTGGATGGTTTAAATTACCCTGACAGGCACCGGCTTGCTACCTGGGCCTGTCTGGCTCCCCACACCCTTCAATACTGCTAAACACCATGGCATTGGGCAGGCATGGCATTCGGCTGATTATTCACCAGGACCCCCCAAATCTTTCCCAGTCACTGCTTCCCGGCATAGCATCCCCCGTCCTTCAGTAGGGCCGACAGTCCTTGCTCCGACATGTGTCCATTTCCATTGAGCGTCATTAAAACACCTTCTGTTTGCTTGCACCCAGCTAACCAAAGGACCCAGATCAGTCGGTATCACTGGCTGGATTTTCTCGCCTGAGCGGAGGGCAGAGAAAGTCCTCGTTTTCTAAAGAGACTCGGGGAACCCAGAGCGGAAGAGCTGGGACTCCAGACTCATTCAGCCCCCCAACACCACATCTTGGGGGGGCAGGGGCTGCGGGTCGGGAGTGAGGGGCACCGGCAGGGCTGGGGGGGGCCAGCCTGGGCTGGTGGGGGCTTCGGGTCGGGAGTGAGGGGCACCGGCAGGGCTGGGGGGAGCCCAGGGCTAGGCTAGCAGGGCCTGCGGGTCGGGAGTGAGGGGCACCGGCAGAGCTGGGCTAGCAGGGGCTGCGGGTCGGGAGTGAGGGGCACCGGCAGAGCTGGGGGGGGCAGGGCTGGGGGAGCAGGGGGCTGCGGGTCGGGAGTGAGGGGCACCGGCAGGGCTGGGGGGGCAGGGCTGGGGGAGCAGGGGGCTGCGGGTCGGGAGTGAGGGGCACCGGCAGAGCTGTGGGGGGCAGGGCTGGCGGAGCAGGGGGCTGCGGGTCGGGAGTGAGGGGCACCGGCAGAGCTGTGGAGGGCACGGCTGGGGGAGCAGGGGCTGCGGGTCGGGAGTGAGGGGCACCGGCAGAGCTAGGGGGGCAGGGCTGGGGGAGCAGGGGGCTGCGGGTCGGGAGTGAGGGGCACAGGCTGGGCTGGCAGGGGGCTGTGGGTCGGGAGTGAGGGGCACCGGCAGAGCTGGGGGGGCAGGGCCGGGCTAGCAGGGGACTGCGGGTCGGGAGTGAGGGGCACCGGTAGAGCTGGGTGGGGGCAGGGCCGGGGTAGCAGGGGCTGCGGATCAGGAGTGAGGGGCATGGGCAGGGCTGGGCTAGCAGGGGGCTGCGGGTCGGGAGTGAGGGGCACTGGCCGAGCTGGCAGGGGGCTGCGGGTCGGGAGTGAGGGGCACCGGCAGAGTTGGGGGGGGCAGGGCTGGGGGAGCAGGGGGCTGCGGGTCGGGAGCGAGGGGCACCGGCAGGGCTGGGGGGCCCAGGGCTGGGCTGGCAGGGGCTGCGGGTCGGGAGTGAGGGGCACCGGCAGAGCTAGGGGGGGCAGGGCCGGGCTAGCAGGGGCTGCGGGTCGGGAGCGAGGGGCACGCGCAGGGCTGGGGGGGCAGGGCTGGGCTAGCAGGGGGCTGCAGGTCGGGAGTGAGGGGCACCGGAAGAGCTGTGGGGGGCAGGGCTGGGGGAGCAGGGGCTGCGGGTCAGGAGTGAGGGGCACAGGCAGGGCTGGGGGGCCCAGGGCTGGGCTGGCAGGGGCTGCGGGTCAGGAGTGAGGGGCACCGGCAGGGCTGGGCTGGCAGGGGCTGCGGGTCGGGAGTGAGGGGCACCGGCAGAGCTAGGGGGGGCAGGGCCGGGCTAGCAGGGGGCTGCGGGTCGGGAGTGAGGGGCACGCGCAGGGCTGGGGGGGCAGGGCTGGGCTAGCAGGGGGCTGCAGGTCGGGAGTGAGGGGCACCGGCAGGGCTGGGGCGGGGGCAGGGCCGGGGTAGCAGGGGCTGCGGATCAGGAGTGAGGGGCATGGGCAGGGCTGGGCTAGCAGGGGGCTGCGGGTCGGGAGTGAGGGGCACTGGCCGAGGTGGCAGGGGGGCTGCGGGTCGGGAGTGAGGGGCACCGGCAGAGTTGGGGGGGGCAGGGCTGGGGGAGCAGGGGGCTGCGGGTCGGGAGTGAGGGGCACTGGCCGAGCTGGCGGAGGGCAGGGCTGGGGGAGCAGGGGCTGCGGATCAGGAGCGAGGGGCACGGGCAGGGCTGGGCTAGCAGGGGGCTGCGGGTCGGGAGTGAGGGGCACTGGCCGAGCTGGCAGGGGGCTGCGGGTCGGGAGTGAGGGGCACCGGCAGAGTTGGGGGGGGCAGGGCTGGGGGAGCAGGGGGCTGCGGGTCGGGAGTGAGGGGCACTGGCCGAGCTGGCGGAGGGCAGGGCTGGGCTAGCAGTGGGCTGCGGGTCGGGAGTGAGGGGCACCGGCAGAGTTGGGGGGGGAGGGCTGGGGGAGCAGGGGGCTGCGGGTCGGGAGTGAGGGGCACTGGCCGATCTGGCGGAGGTCAGGGTCGGGGGAGCAGGGGCTGCAGATCAGGAGTGAGGGGCACCAGCAGAGCTGGGGGGGGCAGGGCTGGGCTAGCAGTGGGCTGCGGGTCGGGAGTGAGGGGCACTGGCAGGGCTGGGGGGGGCAGGGCTGGGGGAGCAGGGGGCTGCGGGTCAGGAGCGAGGGGCACGGGCAGGGCTGGGGGGGCAGGGCTGGGCTAGCAGGGGGCTGCGGGTCGGGAGTGAGGGGCACTGGCCGAGCTGGCGGAGGGCAGGGCCGGGGGAGCAGGGGCTGCGGATCAGGAGTGAGGGGCACCAGCAGAGCTGGGGGGGGGCAGGGCTGGGGGAGCAGGGGCTGCGGATCAGGAGTGAGGGGCACCGGCAGGGCTGGGGGGGGCAGGGCTGGGGGAGCAGGGGCTGCGGATCAGGAGTGAGGGGCACCAGCAGAGCTGGGGGGGGGCAGGGCTGGGGGAGCAGGGGCTGCGGGTCGGGAGCGAGGGGCACTGGCCGAGCTGGCAGGGGGCATGAGGCGTCTGCCTTGGGGGTGCGTTACACTGAAATTGACCCCCAAGAAAGAGACAGGAACGGGGAGTCTCACCCGTTCTAAGATGATTTCTTCGTACTCCACCCCGTTCACCTGGACAGAATGGCGCTCTGGGTCTCCCTTGCATTCCTCGGGCGATGCTCGGGCTCTTCCCTGAAGCAGCCTTTTCCAGCTCCGAGGTGGGTGCTGAGAGTCTGGGAAGCGGCCACGTGAAGCCACAGTAAGAAATCTGACTACGGCGGAAGAGGGGGGGTAACTGTTGTGGCCACAGCTAATTAAAATGAACTAGGCACAGGCTGCACTTTAGTTTCTTCCCCCCTGCCTTTTCTGGACAGCTGGATGCTGTTAGCAGAGAGGGGATGTTAAGGGGAAGGACCTCATTGCTGCAGGGTTGGGTTTTTTTCTGCTGAATGTGTCCCTTGTGATCTGTAGCCGTCACTCAACCCCGTTTGTCCGGCTGCTGTTTCCTGGACCTCGCACAACACCCTGGGTGCTGCCTCTTCCCTCTCCGAGCTGCCCCCGGTGGACAGACCCCTGGACCCACGGGGTGGCCCCTGCAGGTTTGGGGCCGTGGTCCCTGGATCCTGTACAGCAACCAGCGCTCTCAGCTCCCGCTGGCTGTATCTGTTCCCATCCAACCTTTTACAAGATTGAAGCATTGTGGCCATTCGCCGGGGGCAGATTTACCAGAATGCATGTGGCAGCTTTCAATACATGGGCGGAAAGGAGCTCTGACGAGAAACGGTTTTTAATCCGTGGAGCTGCATACAAATAACCGGACGCACCAGTTCAACTATATCCAGTTTTGACCCCTATTTACTTAAACCTATTTACTTAACTTACCCCCCAACACACACAAATCCTTCCCAGAATCATAGAATCATAGACTAGCAGGGCGGGAAGGGACCTCAGGAGGTCATCTAGTCCAACCCCCTGCTCAAAGCAGGACCAACCCCCACTAAATCATCCCAGCCCGGGCTTTGTCAAGCCGGGCCTTAAAAACCACTAAGGAAGGAGATTCCACCACCTCCCTGGGGAACCCATTCCAGTGCTTCACCACCCTCCTAGTGAAATAGTGTTTCCTGATATCCAACCTAGACCTCCCCCACTGCAACTTGAGACCATTGCTCCTCGTTCTGTCATCTCCTACCACCAAGAACAGCATCCCTTCCCTGGTAAGCTGGAGGTCACCCCCCCACCCCCTCGGTCTCCCTCTCCCAAGCAGCCTGCTGGTGCAGGACTCCAGCTTCTCCCCACCGCAAATCCCAAATAATCAGTTCTGTGTCCCTGCCGGCTGCCACCCCCACACCCCATCTCAGGGACGCAGTCTGACCCCACTGCTCGATCTTACTAAGAGCCAGGGGCGGATTCTCTCCCCGGCGACAGAGGCCAGCGGGAAAGTAAAGATCGGGGCCTCGGTACCAGAATCGAAAAATGTCACCTGCCCCCATTCACAGTCCAGACAAACCCAGATCCTGCTGGGGACCCGGCTCAGGGGGGTCACAGGGGAGGTGAGAGCCCGGAACTGATGCCCCCACAGCTCCACCGCCCAGATCCCCTCCTTGGGGTTAAGGTTGATCCGTTCCTTCCTCCTCACAGACTCTCTGGCCACCCCCACCGCCCAGCGTCCCTCATCCTCCACTTCCATCTCCACCTCCCAGCAATGTCTCCCGCAGGTGAATCCCTCACAGCCCAGCACGCAGTGACGTCGGTCGAATCTCTCAGGGTTGTCGGGCAGAGCCTGCTGCCTATGTTCCCATGTCACGCTTTTCCGATCCCCAGAGAGGACGAGTTCGGGATGGGCCGTGTCCGGATCCAGAGTCACATGCACTGCGGGGGAGAGAAAAGCCGAGCGTTAGGGGCAGAGCTCAGCCCAGGGGGAGGCTGGGACCGTTCCTCACACTCCCCGGCTGCCCCATTCTGGTTGGGACAGTCCTGGATCCCGGGTGGCTGCCTCTGCTCAGTCTCAGGTGCCCCGGACAGAGACGTCCGGACAGCATTTTGGGATGTATAAGTAGGGGCATTGCCAGCAGATCCAGGGACGTGATCGTCCCCCTCTATTCGACATTGGTGAGGCCTCATCTGGAGTACTGTGTCCAGTTTTGGGCCCCACACTACAAGAAGGATGTGGATAAATTGGAAAGAGTCCAGCGGAGGGCAACAAAAATGATTAGGGGTCTGGAATACATGACTTATGAGGAGAGGCTGAGGGAGCTGGGATTGTTTAGTCTGCAGAAGAGAAGAATGAGGGGGGATTTGATAGCTGCTTTCAACTACCTGAAAGGGGGTTCCAAAGAGGATGGATCTAGACTGTTCTCAATGGTAGCAGATGACAGAACGAGGAGTAATGGTCTCAAGTTGCAGTGGGGGAAGTTTAGTTTGGATATTAGGAAAAACTTTTTCACTAGGAGGGTGGTGAAACACTGGAATGCGTTACCTAGGGAGGTGGTTGAATCGCCTTCCTTAGAAGTTTTTAAGGTCAGGCTTGACAAAGCCCTGGCTGGGATGATTTAGTTGGGGATCGGTCCTGCTCTGGGCAGGGGGTTGGACTAGATACCTCCTGAGGTCCCTTCCAACCCTGATATTCTCTGATTCTATGTCACTGCAATTTCTCAACCTGGGTAATGGGACCCACTTCTCTGCCTTCTACTGTCGCTATAGAGGTTGCAAACAGCTCCCTGTTTCCCTTCAGGAGCTGCTCCATTCCCAAGGAAGGCATCAAAAACGTTTAATTAGGAGGGTCCAGAGGAGGCAGGTACCAACTTTGGACCCCAAAAGGGAAGCTTTCTCACCCAAATGCATCCAACGCTCCCAGGCCAGGGATCAGAAATGAAGATGCAGCCCTGGGGAAGAGCCAATGATTTAAGGCCAGTGAGTACACCGTAGGAGAGGACATTGGGTGGGTGTGATGGAGTGGGAATTTTCTGTAATATTTCGTATGAATGTGGCGTGGGCCTCAGTTTCCCCCATATGCTGCATGGTTAATGAAGAGGTGGGAAAAGGTTGTTTACCCTCTGCAAAGAGTCAGAAATCCAGGTGAGACCGATGCCTGACTGCGTGGAGCCTGGGCCCATGTCCCTGGCGAGTCCCACAAGACAATGGCCACTCCAATTACACAGTCATTTGGCGCCTAGCAACCAACGACCATGGATGGCTCAAACTCTGCAGGAAGCCAGCTGCGTTTGACCGGCTGGAGAAGAGGAGGTTACTGACCTGTAACTGGAGGTTCTTTGAGATGTGTGGTCCCTACCTGTATTCCACTGAGGGTTTACGCATGCGCCATGCGTCTGGAGCTGGAGAATTCGAAAGTAGCATCCGTTGGGCCGTGCACGCGCCCTTGCTTCACCTCATGCGAGGTGATAAAGGGTGGGGCGGACTGACCATGCCTTCAGTTCCTTCTCCACCACAAATCGGACCGATCCGCAGTGGAGGGGCAAGAGCAGGGGGAGTGGAATACAGGTAGGGACCACACCTCCAGTTAGAGAGAAGTAACCTCCTCTTCTTCGAGTGACGGTCCCTACTGTAGTCCACTGAGGGTGACTAACAAGCAGCTCCTAATTTGGAGGCGGGTGGGAGGAAGAGGTTGGCTGGGTGGAATGGTCGGAGGCCGGCTGCGCCAAACGAGACGTCCACCGCAGAGTCTTGCACCGAGGAGCAATCCACAGCAAAAGTATGTACAGAACTCCATGTGGCTGCCCTACCCAGCTCTGGAAGTGGTTCGAGTGAGAAACGGTCCAGGGGACTTCCTGAATAGTCTTGCCCTCTGCAGGTTGACGGCCAAGGTCCTGCAGACATCAAGGGAGTGAAGGAGTCTCTCCTCCACTGAGGCATAAGGCTTTGGAAGGAAGAAAGCAGGTGAGTACTGTATATGAGTTGGTTAAGATGAAAACAGGAGACAACCTTTGGCAGAAACTTGGGGTGTGGGCACAGGGAAACTTTGTCCTTACAGAATGTGGTGAAAGGGGGACCCACCATCATGGCCCCCAGTTCACCTACCCTTCTTGCGGAAGTAAGAGCTACCAGGGAAATGACCTTAATGGAAAGAAGGGACAGGGACCATCAACTCAATGGTTCAAAGGGAGATTTCATTCATGTTGAGAGAACAAGGTTGAAGTCCCATTGCAGAGTGATAGGTTGAATGGGAGGACAGGTTCTGAGAAGACCCAAGACTGGGTTTGGGTCCCTGGCACCCGAACAGTTTGCCCTCCTCCTAGATAGCTTGGAAATGGGTTCGATCTTGCTAGGGAAGCTTGTCTGTAAAGTCCTCTGATTTACTGTAATTGAGAAAGTGGCATTTGGCCAATAAGGCCTGGTAGTTGGAAATCCAAAATTGGAGGCTGGCTGACGAGCACCCCAGAAGGTCCAGCGGCTTACCATCCTTGTCTACCTGGACATCCTCCATCCCCTTACTGCTTGTATCATGAGGGAAGGGGGTGGAGGATGAGAGAACAGAAATTCAGACCCCTTAGCCAGTACATGGTACCCCCTTTTCTGCCCGCCAAACAGTGAATCCAGTCTTGCTGAATGTGGAGGCTCTGAAGGTAGATATTGTGGCCAGGACCCCCCGTGTGGCCAACAAGATGGATCCACTGGATGCTGTGGAGGGCCCCAGGCAATGGGATAACAGTGGTTTCTCTGTTGGAGAAAAATAAGGGACTCTCAGAAACTTGGCGGTCCCTTAGGATATTCATAGCAGCGGTAGAGGATCGGCAGCCCCTGCGCGCCATCCGAATCCTCCAACGAGAACTCAGAGCCTGGCTCAAGAGGCGGTACCGTCGGAACCGGGGGGGATCTGTCTGAACCATAGGGGAGTGGGTAGAAGTGTGACTCGACTGAGGGAAGTCCAGAGTTGGAGATCACATCCCCGCCTGGCGCTGACTGTGCAGGAAGACATGGAGACTTCGCTTCCCCCAGAGCAAAGAGGTAAACAGGTCCGGCTGCCGCCTCCAACCTCCCCGGTCAGTGGCACACGCTCCAGAGCCGGAACCAGAGCCGGAGTGGGGGACTCTTCCGAAACCGATGGTTCCCTTGACTTAGGGGCTGCCAACTTGGAAGGCGTGCGTGGCTCGATGGTTGGTACCAGTGGATCTGGCGGTCTGTGCGACTTCTTGTGCTTGTGAGCCTTGGAAAGCGCCACTTCTCGGTGGCTGGAACTGGTGGAGGACCCATGGTCCTTCTTGGGCCTGGAGGAAGACTCACTGCCATCCTTAAGCGCATGCATCCTTGGCTCCCGACTAGGCCCCAGCACGGGATCCATAGTACCGGTACCGGTGGAACCGGACATGATCTCCACCGTTGGAGGTGCGCTTTGGGTTTCTCAGGCTGATGTATGTGGGGGCGGGTGTTCCCCAGCCTGGATCCAACTCGGCTTCATGGCGACCTCCATGAGGTGCTTTTCGAGGTATGGTTTGGGAAGGACGGGCAGATGCTGCACCTGGATGAAATGTGAGCTTCTCCCAAGCAGGAGAGGCAGCGTTGGTGCTCATCACTGACTGACAACAAACACGGGCAGGAGGTGCAGATCTGGAACCCCAGCGTCTCCGGCGTAAACCAGTAACCAGGCGTGGGTGCTGGATTGGGATCGGGGGGACCAATGAAAACGGAACCCTGCAGTCTCTTATCTCCTAAAACTACTGCTAAACACTAAAACTAGAGTAAAACCAACACAAACCTGAATAAAACAAATGATGTACACTTCTAAAGTGTGTGTGTGTGTGGGGGGGGGGGGTTAAGTGCGTCAGAGACAAGAGGACACTAGCAGTTCTGACTCGGACCATGTAGCGGTGAGAAGGAACTGAAGGCGCGGTCGGTCCACCCTGCCGGTTATTGCCTCGGACAAAACCATGACACAAAGCAAGGGTGCATGCACGGACCAGCGAACACTCCTACTTTCAAATTCTCCAGCTCCAGGCACATGGCGTAAACCCTCGATGGAATACAACCGGGACCATCCCTTGAAGAAGAACAAAGGGTTAAGGAGGGGTGTCAAGGTTCCTTCCCCACTCTGAACTCTAGGGTACAGATGTTCCCTAGAGGGGGACCTGCATGAAAGACCCCCCTAAGCTTATTCTTACCAGCTTAGGTTAAAACTTCCCTGAAGTACAAAGTTTTATCTTTTGTCCTTGAACCTTTATGCTGCCACCACCAAAGTGTCCAACAAAAATAACAGGGGAAGTGCACACTTGGAAACGTCTCCCCCCCAAAAAATATCCCCCCAAGCACTACACCCCCTTTCCTGAGGAAGGCTTAATAAAAATCCTCACCAATTTGCATAGGTGAACACAGACCCAAACCCTTGGATCTTAAGGAGAATGAAAAAACAATCAGGTTCTTAAAAGAAGAATTGTAATTAAAGAAAAAGTAAAAGAATCATCTCTGTAAAATCAGGATGGTAAATACCTTACAGGGTAATCTGATTCAAAACATAGAGAATCCCTCTAGGCAAAACCTTAAGTTACCAAAAGACACAAAAACAGGAATATCCATTCCATCCAGCACAACTTATTTTATCAGCCATTTAAACAAAACAGAATCTAACGCATCTCTAACTAGATTGCTTATTAGCCCTTTATAGGAGTTCTGACCTGCATTCCTGCTCTGGTCCCGGCAAAAGCATCCCACAGACAGAGAGAACCCTTTGTCCGTCCCGTCCCGTCCCCAGGTTTGAAAGTATCTTGTCTCCTCATTGGTCATTTTGGTCAGGTGCCAGCGAGGTTATCTTAGCTTCTTAACCCTTTACAGGTGAAAGGGTTTTTCCTCTGGCCAGGAGGGATTTAAAGGTGTTCACCCTTCCCTTTATATTTATGACAAGGGGCCAGGTGGGGGTTGTTAGGGGTGGGCTGCTGACAGCTGGGGACACACTCCCCTGAACTGGGGCTAGAGAGGGGTCAGAGGGCTGTAGACTCAGGGCTCACCAAGGCTGGCTGAGAGTCACTGCAGATGCCGAAGGTGGGGGTGCATTGCTCCCTTCGGGTGTCTGTCCAACTCAAGCGGATCCACTGCAGGGAGCTCACAGCTTGAAGCAGGGGGGCTGACGGCTCTGAGGTGAGGTCCCAGAGGGAGGTGAAGCCACGTGGCTTCCCCTCGTGAGAGAGTGTGACGCTCCGAGGGTCTGGCTAAGGGGTTCCCCCAGGTACTGTTCCAGAGCTGTCCAAGAGCACTGGACCTGTGGCTCTGTGACCACGGGGTAAGCCCTTCCCCAGCCCAGAGAGAAGAGAGGACACAAACTGGCAGCCTTAGAGAGACGCCATCTACCCACGCCAGCAAGCAAACCCAACAGGAGAGCCCAGCCCAGCCCAAAGGAAAGTTGGGATGTTGGAGAAGCGTCCTGGGGGAAAGGGGAAGGATGTGACAGCCATGAGGAGAGAGATCTCTCGGCTGACAACCCTGAATGTAATATTAGAAAGGCCTGTCAATGTCTACACAAATGACCAGGTCACACTTCAGGAGCTCTGGGTGCTGGGTGGTGGTGAGAGTGAGTCTGGTTACTCTTGTGGGGGAGAGTTGCTTTCATGGGAATTTCCTGGTAACTGAAGGAAAATCTCCCCCCGCGTGCCCCTCCTCAGGCTCATCCTGGGTGTGTGATCCCAGAGATTCCCCCCTTCGCTGCTCTAGCTTAGATGGCAAAGAGCACGGAGGGGGAAAAGGGCCACAAAGATTACAGCACCTGGTCTTTGATTTACACCAGCAGCCCGTGGAGCTGCTTCTGTGCCCTGAGAGCCTGAGACCGGGCAGAGACGCCCTGGCAGTTCTCCCCCGGCTGGCTTCAGAAACTGCCTCTCTCCCTCTTTCCCGGCTGCATCTCCCTGCTGGGGCTGCTCCTCTTTCGGGATTTCGGGATCTGTGCATCCGATGAAGTGAGCTGTAGCTCACAAAAGCTTATGCTCAAATACATTTGTGAGTCTCTAAGGTGTCACAAGTCCTCCTTCTCTTTTTGCGGATACAGACTAACACGGCTGCTACTCTGAAGTTTGTGAAAATCTTTTCAAGGGATTTTTCTCTTCCTTTACAGATAATCTCCGTGTGAAATCTCACCTGGTGTGTATGACTGGAGGGATTCCCCTCCTTTTCTCTCCAGTTCAGAGGGCAGCAAGTCTGGAGAGGGAAAGGGGAAAGGAGATGAGGTTTCAGGTGTCATGTTTACAGAGACATCCCCACCCTTAGCTGACAGAACTGTGTTTTAATTACGTGAGAGAAAACGTTGGCGAGGGACAGAGCCACGCCCAGCTCTTTAATCAAAGAATCCGACACTTTCTATTTTCGCTTTCATTCAGGCATCTTGCATCCACAGAAACGGCCATTAACCCTCCCAGCCCCCCCCCCCCCCCGAGCAGAATGACGTGGGAGACGGATTTCCCCGGGGTCCCTCTTCCTCCAGACCCCAGGCGGTTACTCTCGTTCTCCGTGTGCAGGTTTTCGTAACCTAGACCCAGATCCTGGCAAGAGTTTAGCATGAATGGAACTTTACACCCTTCGGCTCATTTGACATCAATGGGCTGCGGAGACTTTGCAGGATCAGGGCCCTGAATGGCGAAGCTTTACCCTGGCTATGCCCTTCTACCCCTGCCCCACCCCCTTCCTCCTCCGCCCTGCCTTCAACAACTCCACTCCCTGCCCACCCAGGAGCACCTCTTGAGCCTGCAGCTGCTGGGGAGGAGGCACAAAAGGCTCCCTGTGTTGTAGGGATTCGCCTGGGTTTGCACCTTTGACCCACCCGAGCTGCCACAGGGGCCGGTGCCCAAGGATGGGCTGGGTCCACATTTCAAAAGTGACCTGTAATTTAAGGTCTAAATTTTGGCTGCCAAACTTCAGGCCCCTGGGGCCTGGTTCTCAGTGGTGCTGCAAATCCCACTGCCTCAAGCTGCAGTGGTGGATGATACCAGCTCAGGCTCACATGTCCTGCCGTTCAGTATTTGGGAGAGAGAAACCGAGGCACCCACAGTTTGCTATGTTTTTACCTTAACAATTTTACCAAGGCTCAAGAGTGAATCACCGTGAGACATCCCAGTGCCTGGCCCCTGCTCCATCTGCTCAGTTTCTCCACTTTCTGGCTTTTATTAAATTGGTACACACTGTAATTATGATGGCCAGAGCCCATCTCCTCCCACGGTCTCAGAGACACACCCTCATTTCCCCTCCTAGATTCCTTCTTGGTACCTTTGAACTTCCTCAGAATCTCCGTTAGAGGGAAATTTTTCTGGGAGAAATCGCTGAGTATCTCTGCCAGCTCTAGAGAAATCTCCACTGGCTGCTGGAACTTCCCCATCTCACATCTGGAGAGAGAATTTCACATGATTATATTTCGTTTACTGACTCATTATAATTCCTTGCTGGTGGAAGCTGCTGCTTTATGGAGCCTGGAGTTAGAAATCCTCTTCTCCCAGCCTCTGAGCAGATGCAGCACGGGCCAGGGCTTTGCAATCTTCCCCCATAGGCGGTGGCCCCATTAATATCCTTCCCATCTGGCCTGCAGAGGCCAGATCCGAGGACGAAAGAGGTCCATCTTTCCTATGGACTAGAGAATTCCAGAGTCTTGTATAGATGGGTGAGTGCCTGGGGATTAAGTTCATCCAAGATATTTGCATCCAACGTGTGACCCTGCCCCACACCTTTTGCTGTAGAGCCTTGGGGGGATATGGTGCCCATATGGTCCCCAAGCCCTTTCCCAGCATTGTGAAGCACAAGGGGGAGGAAGTGAGAGCCACGTACCTGCTCAAGGTGCTTCTGACGTCCTAGAGGGGAGAGAGAGAAAAAAACAATCTCAGTCCCTCATGCCACACTCTGGAGGACAAGGGAAAGGGATTTTGCAGCTAATGGGGAAAGAGGCACTTCCCTGGCCCCAGGGCCATGCATTGGCTGAATTAATGTAATCTCAAACATGAATGAGTCTGTAACTCTTCCAAGGGCAAAAATAATTTGCACGTCAGCAACGCACACACTGACTTACACTGTGATCTCTGACTGCTGGACCCCATGTTGTCCTGTCCCTGTGTTGGGATCTGGGGTGTATTTAACTCGGTCTCACCTGCGGGAATTCACTCGCTGGCTTCTGATACTTCCCCTCCAGCTCACTGATCAGGTTGCTGAGACGGGAAATCTCCTCGGAGAGTTGAGTGACATGGTCTTTCTGTGTCTTCACAATCTCCTCGTCCAGCTTGCCCAGCTGGGCGAGAAGGAGTCGCTCTTCTTTCTCTAGAAACATCTTCAGTTCCTGAAACTCAGACACAATCTTCTGCCTCTCGTTTTCTGTCTGTATCTGTTTTTTAAAAAAGGGGTGGGGAAGGGACATATAGAGAAAGTCTAGGGTCTTTCATAAGTGCTGAGCATGCAGGAGAGAGAATTGCCTTACATCTGACACTTGACTACACACCGTAGTTACTAGGGAGCGGATTTCGTAACACCTTCCTCTTTGTTCCTAATAGCTCTTCGTGGGATGTGTGCAGGTCTGACAGGGGCATGGCACTGTGTCATCAGAGACCTACCTCGGTCCTGACCCAGAGCAGCAGGAGGCAGAGATGCCAGAGGAGAAAAAAGAATGAAGCAATTATTAAACAGTGCAAGAAATGCCTGCGGGCTCCAGCTGATGGCACTTTCTGGGATATAGTCCGTTCAGCTTGGGAGGAGAGTTGGGAAAGCCACAAAGGCTAGAAATGAACTCATTCGTTGGAATGGGAGCTTAGCTTCTGTAGAATATGAGGTGGGCCTGATCCTGGGAGAGGACTTCTCAGGCCCCCTGTATGTGTGTGGGTGCCCACATGAATCTAATCCCTGGTCATGGAGCAATGCAGACAACAAGTCCTCATTCCCCAAGGCCACAGAGGAATCTGCCTACAAAGAGACCTCCTTCCCCAGCTCCTTGCAGGTTAATAACAATTTAAATCCCTTCAGCTTTTCCTTTTCTTCCCTCAGAGTCTCCAAATAGGCCTGGATCTTCCTCTGGTGAAACAGAAATGCTCTGGTTGTTTAGTTGTGTGTAGTGGGTGTTTTCCCACCCAAGACTTTGTAGATGACTGTCAGCCCTTTCTGACATCAGGGACACCAAGGAAATGAATCTTCATGAATAGAGACTGGGAGCGTTTTATATTCAGGCAGTTTAGAATTATTTGTCCTTTTTCCCCACTGAGTTAAACCAGTGGAGAAAGTTGGAGTCACATGGTGGTGAATCAATAACCCAATTGTTTAAAAGGTTTAACTAACAAAGTGATACAAACCCCAGAAGCCACCGGGGTTAGAAATACTATCTGGGATGCCCAAAGGAGCCCAACTCCCATTGAATTTCAGCCCTGAACCCCGGGGTACTGGACTGGTTGGACAGAACTGGTCTAAGCAGAACGAGGAGTAATGGTCTCAAGTTGCAGTGGGGGAGGTTTAGATTGGATATTAGGAAAAACTTTTTCACCATGAGGGTGGTGAAACACTGGAATGCGTTACCTAGGGAGGTGGTAGAATCTCCTTCCTTAGAGGTTTTTAAGGTCAGGCTTGACAAAGCCCTGGCTGGGATGATTTAACTGGGAATTGGTCCTGCTTCGAGCGGGGGGTTGGACTAGATGACCTTCTGGGGTCCCTTCCAACCCTGATATTCTATGATTCTATGATTCTAAGCACTTGGGGGTGGCTGATTTGTGTTAAGAACAGTTGCTCTATGCGGTCCAAAACCCTTTCATTTGCAATGCCCTCTGGGTAGCTGCCCCACCGTGCCTAGCAAAGCTACCCGAAGCAGTGGACTCTGGGAGATAGGCCGGGATTGTTCCTCACTCTTGTTTTGTGCAGGGCTCAGGCCAGTGGAGGTCAGGTCTCAGGACTGGTCTGCAGGGGCTGCTGGGATGATACAGACTGTGAGGCAAAGCCATTCTAAAACCAGCCGCTAGTCGTAAGTCCCCCTTAGCACTCCCAGGTACGCTGGCCTGCAGCGCAGGTGAGCAAAACCTCGCTGATCCTTTCACAGTTCCATTTGAGTTGCGAGTTCCCTTATTTTGCCAGGGGGAAGTGGTTTGAAAAGGGCGCTCCAGCTTCCCAGAGGAAAGTCACCCACATCAGTCATCTGTCCTGCCTTCATTTCCGCCTCTCACGTCACATCCCTCTACACATTTCTTTCCGTATCACTGTTCATACCGTGAAAGCTTTACCGAGCAGAAAGATGCAGGGGGGAGAAATCGAGTCTGATCAGCAAGTTGGGGTGAAATGAACCTGTCATTAAAATGCAGTTAGAATGAATTAGACGGGGCAGCGATTCCTTACCTGGTACTCCTGGGCAGCCTCCTGGATGGGAACCCGCCGGTAAGCGGCGTGAGCCCGGGATGCGTCACCACGTGTGAGGTTTCTCTGCTGAGCAGTTTCTCCGCACTGAGGACAGGCGAAGTCTGTATCCGACCCTTCCCTGCACTGGCCGATGCAGGCTCTGCAGAAACTGTGCCCATCAGCCAGGAGACGTTGTGCGGTGCTCTCTGCAGCCATGGCTCCCGTCTAGACAGCGCCAGTGCGTAAGTTTCACTTTCCTGAACTTAGAGATTCACTCCACCTGCCACAGTAACTGGGTGTTTCCTTTCCTGGAACTGACTCATGCTGTTTGCTGCATTGGAACAAGCCCCCGCTAACATTACCAGTCCCGGGGGCTTTTGTGATCAAAGTACCAATAAAGCTCTGCTCCCCCCCCCTCGTGCAATCAGCCCCTGTGCTGGTGTAGAGGGTCACTAGGACCTCTTGTGGGTGCGAGCATCCCCCTGTGCTAATGAGCTTGCCAGGTGTTTAAGGAGGGATATTTTGAACCTCACATTCTAAAAACTTGGCTAACCTGGAATCAGTGTTTCAAATATCTGATTCTCATTTACACCAGGGCTGCTCTGGCTCAGTGAGTTGCCAGCTCCCATGATTTCATCAGGACTCTCATGATATTTGCTGTTAGACCCACAGCTCCCGGAAGCCTGTGATTAGGGGGAGACTGTTGCCACTTTTATCCAAGCAGAGCTGTTATGCCTAGGAAATCCTTAACATGCTGTTACTCGTTCAGTAATCTGGGCCCTGGCTCTGTTCCAGGCACAAGCCATTTTTGCTGAGGTCAGAATTAAGGATTTGCTTTACAGGGCGAGAGAGATGGATACACTGGGTGCAGGGTGTAGACCGCTTTCTGTCAAAGGCACATATCTGGGCTGGGGCAGCATCCCGCTGGTGACATTGCACTCCGTATGTTTTATGGAAATATGCTTATGAGTATGAATATGATGTAACTGGAATATGCTTTATGCAAAAGGTCTCTTGCCTACTGAATATATTCCTCCTATTTGAATGCCTGTATCATTCTTGTAGCTGAAGCTAGAAATATGAAGTATAACTCTGAGGTCCTATTGCAGTGATGCAAAGTGTGGGCCATTAATGGTGGTTTAGAATCTTGATGGCTCCCACTGACTAGGGCAATTGGTTGTAAATGGTTTATTTACCTGCAAACCTCCCTGTTTACGTGTGGGCCAACCCAGGAAGAATGGAGATTAAGGGTCTTACAGTGACCATGTCACTTGAGGCTGGAATCCATCTTAATCCTTGTACTTTTCCATTGATGAGGCAGGGGTGGGGCAAGCACAGACAAAAGATTCCTGCCTGTGCCAAAGCTATAAAAGGGGGTGGAGCAGGACAAAGGGGGCCAGTCATGAGAAGACCCCTGCTTACCACCTGAGATGTCAGCTGGAACTCACAAGGACTGTACCAGGGGAAAGGATTGGGCCCAGACTAGGAAGGAGTCTAGTCTGTGTGAGAAGCTTACTGGAACATCTTTGAAGGTAAGATATTACCTGTAATCAGTTTCTTAATGTATTAGGTTTAGACTTGTGGGTTTTTGCTTTATTTTGCTTGGTGAATTACTTTGTTCTGTCTGTTATTACTTGAAACCACTTAAGTCCTACTTTCTATACTTAATAAAATCACTTTTGTTTATTAATAAACTCAGAGTAAGTGATTAATACCTGGGGGTGCAAACAGCTGTGTGTATCTCTCTCTCAGTGTTATAGAGGGTGGACAATTTATGAATTTACCCTGTATAAGCTTTAAACAGAGCAAAAAAAAAAAGATTTATTTGGGGTTTTGATGCCATTGGGAATTGGGTGTCTCGGTGCTGGAGGCAGGTAACCTGCTGAGCTGTTTCTAGTTAAGTCTGCAACTCTGGGGCCGTGGACCAAACCCTGGGTCTGTGTTGCAGCAGGCTAGCATGTCTGGCTCAACAAGGCAGGGTTCTGGAGTCCCAAGCTGGCAGTGAAAATGGGCTCAGAGGTAATTTCAACACATCAGGTGACAGTCCCAAGGGGATCTCTGTGACCAAACCCATCACACTGCTGACAATGGTTTTAGGAGTGTGTCCATAAGAACATAAGACTGACCATACTTGGTCAGACCAAAGGTCCATCTAGCCCAGTATCCTGTCTTCCGACAGTGGCCAATGCCAGGTGCCCCAGAGGGAAGGAACAGAACAGGTAACCATCAAGTGATCCATCCCCTATCGCCCTTACTTAGTTTCTGGCAAACAGAGGCTAGGCACACCCATTCCTGCCCATCCTGTCTAATACCCATTGACGGACTTGTCCTCCATGAACTAATCTAGTCTTTTTTTTTAACCCCATTATAGTCTTGGCCTTCACAACATCCTGTGGCAAGGAGTTCCACAGAGTCTGTAGCAGAGAATGGAGTAGATATTCCCTTGAAATCCACATTTCTTTGCTTATTAAAGTTGAGGCTGTGGTGAAAATCTACACTTGAGTAACCTAATCTGCCTTTCTGCTGGTTTATTGATTTATATGCATTACACAGGATTAAAGTTTCACCCACTAATTCAGTATCCCAGATTTAGCCTGGAGAGGGGGGATGTGAAAAAAAAAGATCTCTGCCAAGATCTTTGATCAGGGTTTTGGGGTAGGAGAATGATCCAGATAATGCACAGAATAATAATAAAACCTACTGCAAGTGCAATGTCACCTTGGTACCACAAAATCTGACCCCTGGAGCCTGCAGGTCAGAATGAAGGAGGGGAACTACGTGACACAGGTGCTGGCTTCCTCCTTTCCCTGAGGGTGTTCAACCCCCACTCAGCTCAAGGCCCCACCCTCACCCCACCTCTTCCCACCCCTGCTCTGTCCCAGGCCCTGCCTCATACTCCACCTCTTCCTCCAAGGCCCCCCCCCCCGCCTCTTCCTGCCCAGTTCCACCTCCTCCCCTGAGTGTGGGAGGGAGGGGCAGGAGCTGATCAATGGGGCCGCTGGGGGGAGGGATGCATTGGGGTGGGGGAGGGTGGGTGCTAAATACCTGATAACAGAGTGGGCACCTATGCTAAGCAGGGTGTGTGAACGACCTCAAAGAGAAGCCAATCCAGCAGACTCCAGAAAGGCAGAACCCCACCCCACCCCCACACCAATTAGCCCAGGGGCCCCCAAGAGCAGTGGGGGCCAGGTCTGCACACGTGGTCTCAGTGGAGCTAGCTGACCTCCACCCAGGTTGCAACGCTCGCGGTGCTTCGCAGTCCGGGGGCCTGCCTGCAGACTCAGGCAGATGTTGGCTGTTCATATTGTCATGAATCTCTTTCTCACCGTGAAAGGGAGCTAGGTCTGAGACCAGCCACACAACTCTAGCAGGCAGGGTCTGGTGCAAGAGCCCAGCCTTCGCCCAGAATGACCCGTGCGTGGGCCCAAACTTGAACTCGTGGGAAAAGTGTGAACATTTTGCAAACGTTGTCACAGAGAAGTCCTCTTTTGACATTTGAATGTTTTGATCAGCTCGAATCAGAGCCCCAGTGAGTGGGAATTAGGGACGACAAGGGCGTAGGTTCCTGAATTCATAGAAGATCAGGGTTGGAAGGGACCTCAGGAGGTCACCTAGTCCCACCCCCTGCTACCTTCCAGTGAAATCAAGGATTGAAATCAATGAAGCTCGGAGCCTAAGTGGAAGTTAAATGTTCATTAAGTTGTGAAGGCCAAAGCTATAACTGGGTTCAAAAAGAGTTAGGTACGTTCCTCAGGATAGGTCCACCGATGGTTATTAGCCCAACCCCATGCTCTGGGTGTCACTAAACTACCTGATGCTGAGTGTGGACGACAGGGGATGGATCACTAGGTGATTAACCTGTTCTGTTCATTCCCTCTGAAGCACCTGGCAGTGGCCACGGTCGGAAGCCAGGATACGGGGTTAGCTGGACCATTGGTCAAACCCAGTGTGGCCGTTCTTATGTTCAGCAAAAGTTACAGTAGATTCTTGCCTTTTGAGAAGGATTTAATAGGAGATCGTATACGGCCCTCAGTCAATATTTGAGAATCAAGCTCCACACATAAGCGGTGACATGCAAAAAAGCACTGAGGGCTGGACTGAGAGCCGAAATAACAACTGAGAAAGGCAGTCCCATTGGTACGTCAAATGCAAATGACGTTTTGACACCAGACCGGGGAATCAGTGTCAGTATCTAGGTCTGTTCGCTACCCTGGGGTAGAATTTTGGGTTTGACTTTTTGATACTCTTATAGTAAAATGTGCAAACCAGGGACAAAGCCACTGTGATGTTGCTTCCGGCTAGTCAGCTGGATTTGTGAGTACAGTGGGAACAGGGAAGAGCAGCTGAAGTGTTCCTGAGAGCACACTGTAAGATTGCCTCAACCCCTATCTGAAGGCAAAGTCGAGCAACCAGTGGGGAGGGGCAAAGGGGCTTTGCGGGGAAGGTATAAAACACGAAAAGACCAAAGAAATGCCTCACTCCTTACCCCTCCCATGGGGTCCAAAAGGGGTGGGATGAAGAACCCAGACCCAAAATGGAACATGACCCTAAGTTGTAAGGGGTGAGACTAGGGGCATGTACTGCAGGTGTATTTGAGGAGGTGGGAATTGGGGAACGGGGAATGAGAATGGGGACACAGGCAAGGCTCCGCAGTGTCAGAGCTGGGAAGGGGGACACGGGGTAAGGGCTCTGCGGCTAACCCAGGAACCTATCCCTGCAACAAACCCCATTGCCAACTCTGTCCACATATCTATTCAGGGGACACCATCATAGGACCTACCCACATCAGCCACACTATCAGGGGCTCGTTCACCTGCACATCCACCAATGTGATCTCTGCCATCACGTGCCAGCAATGCCCCTCTGCCATGCACATTGGCCAACCAGGACAGTCTCTACGTAAAAGAATAAATGGACACAAATCTGACATCAGGAATTATAACATTCAAAAACCAGTCGGAGAACACTTCAATCTCTCTGGTCACTCGATTACAGACCTAAAAGTGGCAATTCTTCAACAAAAAAACTTCAAACACAGACTCCAACGAGAAACTGCAGAACTGGAATTAATTTGCAAACTGGACACCATCAAATTAGGCCTGAATAAAGACTGCGAGTGGATGGGTCACTACAAGAACTAAAAAAACCTAAATTTCCCCATGCTAATTTCCTCCTACTCGTACTCACACCTTCTTGTTAACTGTTTGAAATAAGCCACCCTGATTACCCCTACAAAAGTGATTTTTTGTCCTGTTGATAATAGCCCACTTTAATTGAAATGCCTGGACCCCCCAACTTGGCAAGGCAACTCCCATCTTTTCATGTACTGCCGAATACATCTTCCTACTGTATTTTCCACTCCATGCATCTGATGAAGTGGGTTCTAGCCGATGAAAGCTTATGCCCGAATAAATTTGTTAGTCTCAAAGGTGCCACAAGGACTCCTTGTTGTTTTTGCTAGCAGCTACTGACTTGTGCATATTTTCAATCAGTATTTGCTATGAAAATGCAAATGGAACAAGCACACTGGCTTTCCTCTGCCCGGTGTCGACAAAGGTAAATGATGAAGTGCGGAGAGTGACCAGAGTCATAAAAATAACATTTTAAAAAAGAGCAGGAGGACTTGTGGCACCTTAGAGACTAACCAATTTATTTGAGCATAAGCTTTCACAAGCTAAAATCCACTTCATCAGATGCATACAGTGGAAAATACAGTGGGGAGATTTATATACACAGAGAACATGAAACAATGGGGGTTACCATACACACTGTAATGAGAGTGATCAGGTAAGGTGAGCTACTACCAGCAGGAGAGAGAAAAAAAACCTTTTGTAGTGATAATCAAGGTGGGCCCTTTCCAGCAGTTGACAAGAAGGGCTGAGGAAGAGTGAGGAGTGGGAGAGGGGGGGATAAACATGGGGAAATAGTTTTACTTTGCGTAATGACCCCTCCACAGTCTCTATTGAAGCCGAAGTTAATTACATCCCGTTTGCAAATTAATTCCAATTCAGCAGTCTCTGGCTGGAGTCTGTTTTTGAAGGTTTTTTTGTGGAAGAATGGCCACTTTTCGGTCTGTAATCCAGTGACCAGCACTCCAGCTGAAGCTGGCAAGGCAGGGAGCCTTTCAGGGAATCCAGCATTGGAGAAACGTGGGACCTGCTCGGAGACTTTTCTGCAGACCCAGAAACTGAGAAGAGAGAGTCCTTCAAACACCCCAGGTGTGAGCTACAGAACTAGGCGAGGGTTTTGGGGTTTTTTTGGGGGGGGGCATGTCAGGCACAGGGGGCCTCGGCCCCAAGCCCTGCGCAAGGGGCCAAGCTGCGGCGGCGAGATCGCTAGGACCCAGGAGCAGCGCGCTGGGGTCGCTGCCCCCTCGGCAGCAGGAAGTGAATCGGCCTCGCTCCGCAGTGACTCCGGAGCCCGGGGCTGCAGCCGGGAGAGGGGCCGCTGCAGCCGGGACAGTCTCCAGCCCGGCCGGGACCCCCCCTCCCCGGCCCTGCTCCCGGGGGGGGGGCCGGCTGGGGGGGGGAAGGTGAGAGAGACCCCCCCACACACCCCCCGGGCTGCAGGGATCCCTGTGCCCAGGAGGGCGGCCGCCAGCCCCAGTGTGGGCGGGGGGCTGGGATGGGGGAGATGTGGGGGGAAGGGGGGCTGGTATAGGGGGAGGGGAAGGGTGGATTGGGCTGGTATAGGGCGAGGGGAAGGGGGGATGGGGGAGATGGGAGGCTGGGATAGGGGGAGGGGAAGGGGGGGCTGGGATAGGGGGAGGGGGAGATGGGGTGGGGGGCTGGGGAAGGGGGAGGGGGAGGAGATGGGGGGACTGGGGAAGGGGGACATGGGGTGGGGGGCTGGGGAAGGGGGGGGGGAGGAGATGGGGGACTGGGGAAGGGGGACATGGGGTGGGGGGGAGATGGGGTAGATGGGGGGCTGGGGAAGGGGGAGGGGGAGGAGATGGGGGACTGGGGAAGGGGGACATGGGGTGGGGGAGATGGGGTAGATGGGGGGCTGGGGAAGGGGGGATAGGGGGTGGGGGAGATGGGGAAGGGGGGGCTGGGATGGGGGGCTGGGGAAGGGGGGGATAGGGGGTGGGGAGATGGGGGGCTGGGATGGGGAAGGGGGGATGGGGGCTGGGGGGCTGGGATGAGGGAGATGGGGGGCTGGGGAAGGGGAGGGGGAGGAGATGGGGGGAAGGGGGGAGATGGGGGGCTGGGGAAGGGGGGGATAGGGGGTGGGGAGATGGGGGGTGGGGAGATGGGGGGCTGGGATAGTGGGAGGGGGATGGGGGCTGGGGAAGGGGGGAGGGGGAGGAGATGGGGGAGATGGGGGGCTGGGGAAGGGGAGATGGGGTGGGGGAGATGGGGGGCTGGGGAAGGGGGAGATGGGATGGGGGGCTGGGGAAGGGGGATAGGGGGTGGGGAGATGGGGGGCTGGGATAGTGGGAGGGGGGATGGGGGCTGGGGAAGGGGAGGGGGAGGAGATGGGGGGCTGGGGAAGGGGGAGATGGGGTGGGGGAGATGGGGGGGCTGGGGAAGGGGGGATGGGGTGGGGGAGATGGGAGGGGGGCTGGGGAAGGGGGATGGGGGCTGGGATGAGGGAGATGGGGGGCTGGGGGAAGGGGGAGGGGAGGAGATGGGGGGAAGGGGGAGATGGGGGGCTGGGGAAGGGGGGATAGGGGTGGGGAGATGGGGGTGGGGAGATGGGGGGCTGGGATAGTGGGAGGGGGGATGGGGGGCTGGGGAAGGGGGGGGGGGGAGATGGGGGGCTGGGGAAGGGGGAGATGGGATGGGGGGCTGGGGGAAGGGGGATAGGGGGTGGGGAGATGGGGGGCTGGGATAGTGGGAGGGGGGATGGGGGCTGGGGAAGGGGGAGGGGGGAGGAGATGGGGGAGATGGGGGGCTGGGGAAGGGGGAGATGGGGGTGGGGGAGATGGGGGGCTGGGGAAGGGGGGAGATGGGGTGGGGGAGAAGGGGGAGATGGGGTGGGGGAGATGGGATGGGGGGCTGGGGAAGGGGGGAGATGGGATGGGGGCTGGGGGAAGGGGGGATGGGGGTGGGGAGATGGGGGGGCTGGGATGGGGAGGGGATGGGGGAGATGAGGAAGGGGGCTGGGATGGGGGGCTGGGGAAGGGGGGATAGGGGGTGGGGAGATGGGGGGCTGGGATGGGGAAAGGGGGATGGGGGGCTGGGATGAGGGAGATGGGGGGGCTGGGGGAAGGGGGAGGGGGAGGAGATGTGGGGGAAGGGGGAGATGGGGGGCTGGGGAAGGGGGAGATGGGGTGGGGGGATGGGGGGATGGGGAAGGGGGAGATGAGATGGGGTGGGGGGATGGGGAAGGGGGAGATGGGGTGGGGGGCTGGGGAAGGGGGATAGGAGGTGGGGAGATGGGGGGGCTGGGATGGGGAGGAGATGGGGAAGGGGGAGATGGGGGGGCTGGGATGGGGAGGAGATGGGGAAGGGGGAGATGGGGGGCTGGGATGGGGAGGAGATGGGGAAGGGGGAGATGGGGGGCTGGGATGGGGAGGGGATGGGGGAGATGGGGGGCTGGGGAAGGGGGAGATGGAGATGGGGGGCTGGGGAAGGGGGGAGGGGGGGTTGGGGTGGGGAGGGGCTGGGGAGATGGGGGGGCTGGGATAGGAGGAGGGGATGGAGGGGCTGGAGGGACCATGGCAGAACAAGGGGAGGCTGGCTGGCGAAGGGAGAGCCGGAGGGGAGGGATAAGGGGAAGGGGATAAATTGGAGAGAGTCCAGTGAAGGGCAACAAAAATGATTAGGGGTCTGGAACACATGAGTTATGAGGAGAGGCTGAGGGAGCTGGGATTGTTTAGCCTGCGGAAGAGAAGAATGAGGGGGGATTTGATAGCTGCTTTCAACTACCTGAAAGGGGGTTCCAAAGAGGATGGATCTAGACTGTTCTCAGTGGTAGCAGAGGACAGAACAAGGAGTAATGGTCTCAAGTTGCAGTGGGGGAGGTTTAGGTTGGATATTAGGAAAAACCTTTTCACTAGGAGGGTGGTGAAACACTGGAATGCGTTCCCTAGGGAGGTGGTGGAATCTCCTTCCTTAGAGGTTTTTAAGGCCCGGCTTGACAAAGCCCTGGCTGGGATGATTTAACTGGGAATTGGTCCTGCTTCGAGCAGGGGGTTGGACTAGATGACCTTCTGGGGTCCCTTCCAACCCTGATCTTCTATGATTCTATGGGGTGGTGAGAGATACAGGGGCAGCTGCCTTGCCCCATGGAGTGGGAGAGGGGGTGGGCTGGAGGTGCTGTCCCTCCCAAGCCTTTGCCGTTTCCTCCCTCCCCCCAAAATGGTAACATGAGCCTTGCAAGTGGGGGGCAGGGGATTTCCCTGAAGGGGTGCGAATTTACACAGCAAATATCCACACTCCCTCCCTCCCTCCTCCCGCATTCTGCGCTCAATTTAATGTTTTGTTTCAAGACCATCGTTATTTGGCCGGGGAGGGGGAGTGACTCCTGGGCTGACCGGGTGCTGGTCTGAATTCTGTGCAGGATTCGGTGTCACTCCAGAGTCACTGCTCGCCATAGCCGGCAAGGAGTGGAATTGGGGGTTGGTTCGGGTTCAGTGTTCGGTTCTGGTTCAAGATGCCCGAAAATGATTCAGTTACCAGGCAGCGCCGGGGGCGGGGGGGTGCGACGGGGAGGGTAGGAGCAGGTCCCGCAGCTTCCTTCAGTGGGGAACTGATTTGGGGGCCCGAGGCCTGTGTCAAGCGGGGCATTTAGAAGGAGGAGCTGCCCCAGGGGCTGGGGATGGGTGGGAGGAGGCCTGTCTAAGCAGGAGAAAAGTTGGGCAGGCAGTCCCTCTCCCCCTGGAATTGAAGAGTTAACTTCTGGGACCAGGAGCCCCCCCACTTCCCTCTCTGCTCCTAGGGTCTCTCTCCTCTTCTCCTTCTACTGGGGCAGGCTGCTCTGGGAGCAATCGCCTGCCTGGGTGTTCTAGATAATGAAGGAAAGAGCAGAGAAGGTTTAATTTTATTTGATCAGATATTGAGCTTAAAAACTGCTGAAACTTTATTGTAACTGGCCACCAGTTTTCCCCCAGTTCAGGTCAGAGTCAGCTTCACTGAGTAAGAGAAAAATGATGGATCAAGTCTGGCACCTGCTCAGTTAAAAATACCAGTTCAAACTGGTTCTGGTTCGGTTCTGATGTGAGTCCAGGCGGGCAAATGAAATCTGCAGCTGCCGAACTGCCCCTGGGGGCTGCCGGGTCAGCCCAGGGGGGTGTCTGTGTCTCTCTCTGCTCGTGATGTTAGCACCCCTACAGTTGAGTTTTCTGGGTCAGACGCTTCTGCCTCCTACATCGTGATCTGGGAGCCCAGACGGAGCAGCTGCTGCTCCCCCAGCGGGGTCTGTGCTGGGGAAAGACCTTCATTAAAGCCCCCTCTGTGCCCAGCCCAGGTGGGGACTTTCCCCCGTGGCTGGAATTGGCCCCGGGCTCTGCCCGCACCAGCCCTGAGGCAGAGCCTCCAGATGATGGGGAGAGAACTGGGGACCGGCAGGAAAGTGACTTTGCACAAGGGCCCCCTTTCAGGGACCAGCTGGTGAGTTGTACCAGAGGGGAAGGGGCTCCCCATCTGTCTGCGGGTCCCAGAGCTGTTGCCCTCTGGAGACTCACAGTGGAGAGCAAATGCCCATGGGCACAGGACAGTCCCCAGTTCTCCCAGGCAGAGCGGAGCGGGAAGGAGACCGAAAGGGGAAGGGTGACACCGAAACGGGCAGCAGGAACAAGAAGTAGAGAGAGAGGTTCCCGGCTCCCCAGCCTGCCCAGATCCATTCACTGCGGCACCCGGGGCAGATTGAGTGTCCTGGGAACAAGGTGAGGCGCAGAGAGAGGAAAGGCCATTTCCTGACCCTGTCAAGTCATGGCACTGCTGGGCGGATGCGCTGCCTGGCGGACAATAAGAACAGAAGAACGGCCACGCTGGGTCAGACCAATGGTCGGTCTAGCCTTGTATCCTGTCCTCTGACAGTGGCCAATGGCAGGTGCTTCAGAGGGAATGAACAGAGCAGGCAATCATGGAGTGATCTCATCATTCTCTCTTCGCTTCTAGCAGTCAGAGTCTAGGGACACCCAGAGCATGGGGTTGCATCCCTGCCCATCCTGGCTAATAGCCATTGATGGACCAATCCGCCATGAATTTATCTAGTTCTTTTTTGTACCCTGTTATAGTCTTGGCTTTCACAACATCCTCTGGCAAGGAGTTCCACAGGTTGACTGTGCAGTGTGTGAAGAAATACTTCCTTTTGTTTGTTTTAAAGCTGCTGTCTATTAATTTCATTTGGTGAGCCCTAGTTCTTGTGTTATGAGAAGGTGTAAACACCACTTCCTTATCTACTTTCTCTACACCAGCCATGATTTTATAGACCTCTGTCATATCTCCCCTTAGCCGTCTCTTTTCCAAGCTGAAAAGTCCCAGTCTTATTAATCTCTCCTTATACGGAAGCCGTTCCATACGCCTCATCATTTGTGTTGCCCTTTTCTGAACTTTTCCCAGTTCCAATATATCAGTGTCAGGGGGAATCCTCCAAAGTGGCTCTTTTGATTCTGCTCTTTTCTAGCATTTGTCTCAGAGCCTCTGTCCCTGGGAGGGTTTAAAAGTGCCTCGGTGGGTCCAGTCCTGGCAGGAGGGGCCGGGTCTGTCTTGTAATGAAGGGCTAGAGGCTACAGGAGAAGCGTTTCAGGGGCTGCTGTCGGCATAAGATCCCCACCCCGGCGAAAGGCAGTGGCTGTGTCGGTGGGAGAAGCTCTCCTGAGCAACGTCAATTATGCCCAAGTAAGCCGGAGTGTAGGCCAAGCCAAAGTGACTGAGGGTTTTCCCAGAGTGTCCTTCTGCAGGGAGAGACCCTGGAGGGGAATCGGGGTGTCACATGGACTAACGCCCCTTCTGAAACCTCCCCGATTGTCCCTCTCACCCTGACAGGCTGAAGAATCACGTCCGCTTTTCGCTGCAGGTCGTCCCATCTTCCAGGAGACGAGGAAGAGAACTGGCTGCGGTGTAGCCCGCTCAGGTAGGGGATTTTCAGGGAGCTCTGTCTGTGTGTGTGTGGTTTGTAGAGGGGAGGGGCAGGAAATATACAGGGTGAGGCAGGGAGGGGACAGGATGTGATAAATCTGCTGGGGCATGTTCACCTTGGGCCTCGTTTTCTGAACAGGCCCATTGGGAGGGGGTGACCATCCACCCATTTCTGAAAGAGGAAAGGCCCCATGGACAGGGCTGGGAAAACTGACCAGATTCTCGGTGCTGGAGCCTGGACCCACTAGCCAGAGGCTACCATGGAATATGAAGGTGCTGGGATTCCTGTCCCTGTCCCCTGCTTGGAGCTCTGCTTCCCGTATCAGCCTGTGGCTAGCAGGTGTGTGGTAAATGAGAAGACCCTGCTCTCCTCCATCTGCTGGGAGGGACAAGGGGCTCTCACCTTCTCTGCTCCGGAAGACACCTGGCTCCTCTGAGCAGGGTGGGAGCGGGATTCTGCTTCTCCGGCCCTCCTCCATCGTGACTAGTGGGATTGTGGCCGGGGCAGCTGGCACTGAGTGGAGGAACTGATGTTGTTTCAGACACTGGTGACTTTTTGTGTGTATTTCACCGAGGGGAGGGGGCTCTGTTGGACCCCAATCAGGGAGCCCTCTACAGGGACGTCATGCAGGAGAACTATGAGACTGTGACCTCGCTGGGTAAGGATTCCTGTCCCCTCATTTATTGAAAGCCGTTGGGTCAGCATTTCTGAATCCGGTCAGGTTTTTCCCTGCTTGGTTAGATTGTAGGAGGGTCGCAATGTCCACAGCTCTAGTGCGAGTGCATCTCCATTCCCCTTTCAAGGGAACGGGGAGTCAGAAACCTAATGGACATGCTAATTCAACCCCCTCTCCAGCTTTCAAGGGGCCAGAAGCACGGTATTGTCCTGCCTGTATAATTTCTCCTTTACCTTCCTTCTTGGGACTAGCTCCCTCCGTGGCGAGGGCTCTAGGTTCTGCAGGCTTGCAAACAGGCAGGAATTTAACACCCGAGCCATGTGCGTTGTGTGTCCATAAGTCCCCCAGAGCACACAGATCTGGAGAACTCCTAGTGAGGTCATAACAACACCCCTGCAGACCCCAAGGGGTCTGAGTTATTCTAATCTCATGTAAGGTCAGGCTAAACTCGGGAATGTTCCTCGTGACAAATAGTCCACCAAGACTCCATGCAGCTTGATTTCCCCCGCTGCGCAGGATTTCCCATTCCCAAACCTGACCTGATCGCCTGGCTGGAAGGAGGGGAAGAGCCGTGGGTCCCAGATTTCCAGGCCTCCAAGAAGAGAGAGCTCCTGAGAGGCACCCACACAGGTGAGGGGTCAGGGAAACTGACACAGAAAGCATCCGGGACTCCCCAAAATGTGTCATGAGCAAGCGCCTCAGTTCTGCCCCATCTCAGCCAGGTCAGGGCTGCAGTCAGAGGTGGCGTATCATCACGGCAAATATCAGTCCCGGCTTCCCATCCACCCTGTTAGCTGTCAGGAATCTTCTCCCTGACTTTACTTCCCTGGAAGTGTTACACCCACATAACTGCCGGTGTTGACAGCGGTATGTCAGCGGGAGAGTTTCTCCTATCGGCTTAGCTACCGCCGCCCACCAGGGCTGGAGGAAGGTCTCGTCTACACTACAGGGTTTTGTTGGCGCAAGTGATGCCGACATACAGCCACAGCTGTAATTAAACCCCTGTGGCAGGTCCACACTGTGATCCTGGTGTCGGCAGAGCGCATCCAGGCTAGCCGCTCTTGGATGGCCACAGAGAGCAGTGCATTGTGGGTCGCTATCCCACTGTGCGACTGGCCGCAGGGTCCTTTGGGAAGGGCTTGCAATGGCTCATGGGACAGGTAGCGTGTCACACGATGAAGGCTTCATCCTACTACACTAGAGACCTCGGGAACGGGGGTTGTTGCTAACTCTGAAATGTTTGTCACCCTGAACAAGATGTTATGGGATGCTCCTCAGGGCAGACGGCTCGGAGCAGGGGCTCACAGCTGTGCCTGCGAACCTCAGCGTCTTCACCTCCTACCTGTAAGTGGCTGCCCCATGTGTGGCGAGCAGGGGGTAGGGGTGGGGACAGGCAGCCCAGATGTGCCTGCCTTTAAGATGCAATGCAGGCAAAGTACTGGATTTTCTGGGGTTTGTTTTTTTGTTTTGTCTCCACGGCTGCGGACTTCCAGTTCCACACGATGTCCGGTTGACTGGTCAGTCTGTAACTCCGGTGTTTGTATCTACTGTAGATTTTGCCAGCCGCTTTTCAACGGAAGTGTGGGTGTGGGGGGCAGGGGAGCAGTGGAGAGTGTGTGACAGGGAGCGAGTGTGTGTGTGTGTGTGTGTGTGTGTGGGAGGAGAGACAGAGACACTCTGTGTGTGTTTGTGTGTCGGGGGAGTGTGTGCGTTCCTCCCCTCCCGCCCCAACGCTGCCGGGAGCTTTGAAAGGGGCGGGGACGCATGTCTGTGTAGCTGGATGCCGGGCAGCAGAGTTCAAACCAGCGATCCGAGCGGTCACAGCGGGCATCAGGGCAGACTTCCTGAAGGCCCGTTACGGTGACATAACGAACATACTGTCTGCACTGATGCTGTGTCTCTCTATCTTTGCCGCAAAAAGCCCTCTGCCTCTCGTCAAGGGGTGTGTGTGGGGGGGGGGGGTTGTCACCAAAACGGGAGAGTTTTGCTGCCAGAAGTAGCGTTGTAATGTGTACCCCTCCATTGTTTTGTCAACAAGAGTTGCCTTTTGCCGGCAAAACTGGAGAGCACAGACAATGACTCCTGTCTGGATTGTCTCTCTCTCCCAGCAGGTGATGAGCATGGGAGGGAGAACAAGGAGGAGAATCAACAGCAGAAAGGTCCTGGGAAAGTGGAACCACAGGGGACGTTTTTGAGAAGAGCTGCAGGGAGTTTTTCCCAGTGCTTGAAACAGGGAAAAGCCTGGGGAAATCAGGGCAGGGCAGGGAGGCAGCTGGAAAACCATCCAAGGAAGAAGCCAGATGAATCCATTCCATGTGAGGGAGGATGCGTGGATCCCAAGGAAACCACAGCTCAGCAGACAAATCACAAGGAAGAAAAACCCTACAAATGTCTTGACTGCGGGAAAAGATTCAGTGTGAGAACAAGCCTCACTACGCATTGGAAAATCCATACAGGAGATAAACCCTACAAATGTTTGGACTGCGGGAAAAGTTTCCATCAGAGCTCACACCTTATTACACATCAAAGACTGCACATGGGAGAAAGACCCTATAGATGCCTTGAGTGTGGGAAAAGTTTTAATGAAAGTTCATCTCTTACTAAACATGGGAGAATCCACACAGGAGAAAGACCCTACAAATGCCTTGAGTGTGGGAAAAGATTCAGTTTCAAATCAGCCCTTAATGCGCACCAGAGAACCCACACGGGAGAGAAACCCTATAAATGTTTGGTCTGTGGGAAAACCTTCAGTGAGAGCTCACATCTTATTAACCATGGAAGAATGCATACGGGAGAGAAACCCCATAAATGCTTGGAATGTGGGAAAAGCTTTCGTAAGAGGTCGTCCCTTATTACACACCAGAGACTGCACACAGGAGAGAGACCATATAAATGCCTGGAGTGTGGGAAAGATTTTAGTGAGCGATCAGTCCTTCTTACACACAAGAGAACCCACACAGGAGAGAAACCCTATAAATGCTTGGACTGTGGGAAAAGCTTCAGTCAAAGGTCACATCTTATTAACCATGGGAGAATCCACACGGGAGAAAAACCCTTTAAATGCTTGGAATGCGAGAAAAGCTTTAGTCAGAAATCATCCCTTATTACACATCAGAGACTGCACACAGGAGAGAGACCATATAGATGCCTTGAGTGTGGGAAAGGATTCAATGAGCGATCATCCCTTCTTACACACAAGAGAACCCACACGGGAGAGAATCCCTATAAATGCCTTGAGTGTGGGAAAAGTTTCATTCAGCCATCCAACCTTACTACGCATCAGAGAGTGCACACAAGTGACAAACCCCATAAATGCTTGGAGTGTGGGAAAAGCTTCAGTCACAACTCCTACCTTACTAGACACCAGAAAATCCATACAGGAGAAAGACCATATAAATGCTTGGACTGTGGAAGAAGTTTTGCTCACAATTCAGGCCTTATTGTGCATCAGAGAATCCACACTGCAGAGAAGCCCTATCTATGCTTGGAGTGTGGGAAAAACTTCAGCCACAAATCAAATCTTACTAGACATCAGACAATCCACCTGGGAGGAAAGACCATATAAATGCCTAGACTGTGGGAAACGTTTCATTTAGACATCAACCCTTGTTACACGCCAGAGAATACTCACTGGAGAGAGACCCCACAAGTGCTTGGACTATGGGAAAAGTTTCATTCAGATCTCACACCTTATTAGACACCAGAGAATTCAGGGCCGTCCTTAGGCATACGTAGGGAACCTGAAAATTTGGGGCACCCCTGGGTCTTAATGTCCACCCATCTGCCTCTTCCTATCCCTGTTCTGACCCTCCCTGCAGGCACCCACCACAGCTGGCTGCTGCAGCCTGGTGAGTCTTCCTCTGGAGGGGATCTAGTAACTTAAAAGTGAAAAAGCCTCCAGCCTGCCAGACCTATTAGCACAACACTGAAACTGTTAAAGACCCACTCAAGGGGTAATGAAGCCATTTAACAGGCATTTGCCAACCCCCAGGTATATACTGTCAGTTTCTGAATTTACTGACCAAAACAGTTGTGCATGACTGTGATATTTACTCAGAACATGTCAGTCTACAGGACCTTAGTTTAAAATTTGACTTAAAAATATTTCATTAGTGTGTTGGTGAAGTTTATAAAATCACATCTCTTAAAAAATCCTTGCAGAGATTTTTAGATGCACAATCTCAGTATTCATCTTTAGCCTTAAATGCTTGGATCTTCAGACATATAGTTTTTTAAATAAATCCTTCAAAAGACCCCCCTTATCTAAAATATGCATGCGAGCCCGGGCTGCCGTTGGGCATCGGGGGACCAGTTTCATAATACTGCATAGGGCCCCATAAATCCTAAGGGCGGCCCTGAGAGAATTCATACCGGAGATAAACCTGATAAATCCTCCACTGTAGGAAAAGTTTCATTGAGAGAACAAACGTTATTGGACGTCACAGAATCCACAAAGGCTATACATTTCATAAACGCCTCAACTGTGGGAAAAGCTTCAGTAAGAGCTCAGAGCTGACCAGACATCCGAGAACCCTCAAGGGTGAGGTACCCTAGGAACAGCTTGACTAGATTCAGTCTGAGTTCACACATCAGTGACCCACACAACAGAGAGACCTTGAATGGGCAAAGCTTCTAGCCTGCCCCTGTAGTTCCAGGCAGCAGCAAATCCACACGGGGAAGAAAGCTCTCAGATGTCCTCAGGGTGGAAAATGGTCCAAGTGGAGCTAACACGGAATTGGACATCGGAGACTCCTCCGCACAGTCGGGAAGTTCTCTCAGTGCCTTACTAGTGCTGGCCATAGTAATAAATCCATTTCCTACTTCCCCCACACACCAGGGGCCTTTGGCTCCCAAGGATCCAGCTGCCCATCTCTGGGGTGAGGATACAGCGGTAGCTGTTTCAGCAAGCCCCAGGCAGAGGAGGGGAAGCCCCGATCAGGCCCTCCTCCCTGCACCAGCCCTGGCTGCTGAGCTGATGGGCCACAGGTGGTTTAAGGGGGAGAGAGAGAAACTCCTCCAGATGCTCCCTCTGCCTTGCTGAACTCCCCCCCCCCGCCCTTCCCAGACAGGCTCCCCCTTCCATGGAGATTAGGAGAAGGACACTTGGGCCAGGCCTGACCTTCACTCTATAGACACCTGTCTCACTCCCCTCCCTGTCTTCCACCAGTCCCTGGGCTGGGCTCCCCCATGTACCTGGAGCTATTTCATGCAGATTAAGTGTCCCTGGGGGCTGGCAACTCCTCCCCTTCCCAAATCGCCCAGGGTTCTGGGGGATCAGATACTGAGGGACCAGGAGGATGGGTTTTGTGGAGGAAACTGGGGATTGAAGAATTGGGGCGGCTAGAACTAGGAAGCACGGGGAACTGGGTGCTGGGGCTATCGAGTGTTTGGGGACTGTGGGATAAGAAGAGAGGGAGAGCACGGGGTATAGAGAAGTACTGCTTCTTAACATTCATTCCCTCGGTACCTTTGTGATGGGTTTTCCCAGGGTACAGCCTGGAACTGGGGTCCTGCTGAGCCCTCTGGCATACCAGTCTGGGCTCCCTTACTCCCTAAGAAAGAGAGATTTAAAATCATTATAAGTAGTGAGCGTATAGATCAAAGCAGATTACCATAAGAAATAAAACAAAACACAACCTAAGCCCTATAAACTCGACAGGATTTGAATCAAGCAGTGTCTCGCCCTGTTAGCGGACAGAGGCAGGAATTCTGTCCCGCCTGGGACCCCCTTCCCCACTTCAGTCTTTGTTCCTGACGTGTTTTCCGGTGTCGAGTTGTAGGGGGAGAGAGGCCCAGTGGTGATGTCACTTCCCCCTTTTATAGCTTCTTGCAGGTGGCGTGAACTTCTTTGTTTCAAGCCAAGCCCCCAGCAGGAGTCTGTGGAAAAGTACAGCAACAAGATGGAGGCCAGTATCCCATGATCTAGTCACATGCCCGTGCAAGCTTCCATGAGTTCTAGCAGCCGTTACTCATACCCTGACTGAAGTGTCCACACGACAGATCGTCCGGTCAGGATAAGCTTTTCCCATGGCCCGTTGTTTTTGCCGATGGGCCAGTCAACTGGAATAGGCCTTTCACAATGTGCTGACTAGACTGGAGGTGGAGTATTTTGTGTTTCCCAGGAGCAAACACATTTGAAATACAGATGCATAGTCAGCATTTATAACTCCAGCTACAACGATACAAGCATGCTCAAATAAATTGGTTAGTCTCTAAGGTGCCACAAGTCCTCCTTTTCTTTTTGCGACCTTCTCCCTGACCCCTCCACAATCAGAAAGCGCCACTGAGTGGGACTGACTCCCACAGGACCTTTTGTGGGAGGCCCAGAGATCCCACCTCTGTCTCCTCAGCGTCAGTCTCGGAAGTTCTCTCTCGGGTAGGAAACGTGGCCGGGATTAGCCAGCGCATCCTTGTGACCCTCCAGCAGATTTCCTCGTGTAAACTGACCCTGACAGTATCTTGTCTGTCCTGATCCCCCCATTAGCAGAGTGATTGCTAGTCCCTGAGTTCCCCCTTTGGGGCCAGATTGTCTCATTCCCAGATAGTCTCACATTGCTCCACGCCATTTATTGTTTGTACATTTTCTGCCTTATGGGCCAGAATTAACTAGATGCTAGAATAGCGGGAGCTGGGCCAGTAAAAAGTGGTGTTTTACCTCCTGTGCTCTTTGAAGACAATGGGGTGAGTCTGAGGGATGCTTAGGAACCACAGTTTGATTTCTCTGATCCTTAGTTAGACTCCTGAGGGTTAGAGAAGAAAGTGTCACAGACCTGGGAGAGGGCAGGGGAATCCTAATAGACCTCAAGGCACAGTGTGACCTGTCCGACCTTATAGCCCCTGTTTCCCTCTATTGGTAAAATGGTTTCTGGGCTTCTTCCAGGCGAGTCCAGATTTACTTATTTTTTGTCTTTCTTTCTCTTTCTTTTATTATAATAATGCGAAAACTTTTGTAACTAGTACAACCAAATAATGAGGCCAGAAGTAAAGCAGGTTTAGCCACTTCAGAAGAAAATGGGTACATTTATTTTCCTGATTTTGAATCTTAAAAGACTCTCTGAGATTTCCCTTTATGAATGTGAAAGTGTTTTATAGCCCACCTTGCATTGTGGGTTTTCTCTCTTTGTGAGGGCCATTTGATCACATACTTCAATATTCACTTAGTGTGACAGGAGGTAGCTCAGATTCAGTGAGGACCTCACGAGACGAGTGATCATTTGCCACAATAGCCTGTTTAAATTTTATTTTAACCTTTGTCTAACACTGTCGTGAGATTTTTTTGTGTTGTTTGAACACTGACAATGATCAATATCTCTCAGCACAAACTCTCAGGGTGAGATACTCCGAGAGGCCGAGACTGAAACAGGGAAGGAGGTTACTGCCCGAATGATCCCTGCAGTGATGTGAGATACTGTCAGGAGAGGGAGAGGGCGGGAGATGGGGGAACAGAGCTGGGAAACTCCTGCATTTGCGATCAGAGCGAGGCAGCCGAGGCTGAGAACTGTGAACTCCCTGCATCAGAGCCAGAGACAGACAGGAATTGGCCTGTGAGTGTCATGTGAAGCTGCCCCTGAGCTCCAAAGGGCCATGAACGACACCCCAAGAAGAATGATGCGGGGTGGGGGCAGCGTCTCCCTATTATGAGATGACAAGGTTGGGCACAGGCAGGATGGGAGCCGGGGATGTCAGCAGACCTGGCCAGCCTTGAACCCAGGCTGACCCCCATCATTGAGGCCAGAGGGAGAGAAGGAGCCTGACAGCCCAGCTGGTCACCCCTTCCCCATCTATCACAGTGTCCTGTGTGGGGATGACAGAGACTGTCTCTGCCCCACTCACCCCACAGTCATCCCTCCAACCAGAGCTCTTGGGGTTCCCTGCTCTCGAGGTGTTTGCTTTTGTGCCTGGCTCCCAGTGTCTCTCATGGCTCCTCAGCCCTTCTCTACCCATTTACAAACGTTGCTGGTTCATGCAGGCGTTGGGCGTGGCCAGGCGCTGGACTGGGGGTGAAAAGTCCCGCGTTGGGCTGGGCTGGGGCAAGGAGTCTGCCTTTGTTCAGCCTTTGAAATAAAGTAGAATTTAGTTTCTCCCACTCCCAGTGTCCTGTGTTTTGCATTAAATGCCTACCCACTCCAGAGCTAAGGTTAAAGGTAAAAGCAATGCAAACATGGTCTGGGGTGGAACTACACAGCGAGGTCACCCAAACAACCGCATCCCTGCATGCATCTGATGAAGTGGGCTTTAGCCCACGAAAGCTTAGGCTCAAATAAGTTTGTTAGTCTCTAAGGGGCCACAAGCAGTCCTCGTTCTTTTTGCTGATCCCTGTCATAGGCTCCTCAAACTTCCCATAGAGACAAAACTCACTCAACTCTTGTGCCTTCCCCCTGAGCCCAGCCCAAACCAGGAAGAGTCTGACCGGGTTCACAGGCTCATTCACCTCTCCCTCACCCTGGTGTAAACCAGACGTAATCCCACTGGAACCCCTTGTTCTGTCTACACCAGTGAGAAGCTGTAGGGAGAGGAGAATCAGACCTGTTAGCAGGAAATATACTCACACACATAGAGAGAGACTCTGACCCCGAGCTGGTTTCTGCTCAAGACCCCTGTCCCCACAACCTTACCGTCTGCCTGATTGCAGGTCGGGCACATTGAAATCAATGGGGCCATTGGCGTAGTATGAGGAAAGGCGTGTACAATTTGGCAGGGTTGGGAATTGAGAGCGCTAGGCTGGGGAGTTTCTCTCTGATGATCTTCGGCCTGTTCCTCCGACCACAGCTTTCCCCGTTTCATTCTTATCTGACTACGCAGGAATTGTTTCTATTGATCCCGGGATTATTTTTATTACCGTAGCGGCTAGAGGCTGCACCCATGCTCGGGGCACGGTCTTGTGTTATACATACACAGCGTGAGAGACAGCTCCTAAGGGAACGAGCGTCAAGGCTGAATCTACAAAACAAACCAAGTCAGGATTCTGCAGGCGTCAGGAACATCTCTACGCACTTTAAACCAGGGTTTCAACTTCCGACGTGTGTGAAAAAAACAGATTTTTCTTTCCCCAAATTACAGCCCTTCCAAGAGTGCAGAACACAGCCCGCGGGAGTGACAAAATTGGCCTCTCCAGCGAGGGTGACCGGATGTCCCGATTTTATAGGGACAGTCCCCGTAATTGGGGCTTTTTCCTACATAGAGGCCTATTACCCCCAGCCCCTGTCTGGATTTTTCACACTTGCTATCTGGTCACTCTAGACTGTCTCTAGCCGTAGTCACCGAGGATCGGAGAGCTTGGAGGATTCCCCTCTGCACAGACCCCTGGTTCATCTCTCTGACTCTGGAGGACTCTCATCGACACCGTCTCCTGGTTCCTCTCTGATGCTGGAGGACTCCCATCTACACAGCTTTCCTCCTGGGTCATCTCTATGAGGGTGGAGAACTCCCATCTGCCCAGCCCTGGCCCCCCACGTCTAGGACCCCTGGAAGCTCCTTCCCCCTCTTCTCCATATGCTCTGTGGCTATTAAAGTTCCTTTTAACTCCTACATATGTCAGTGCGGCGTTCAAAAGAATTCTTTATCTTCCTTCCTTTTCGATTTCCCAGCTGCCCTTGTTGAGGGCAGAGTCCTGGGATTTGCTGCCCCACTTGGCGGGGTCACCCCAGCACCTGCGGGGACCTCACCAGCTTGGGGTTTTGGGGTTTACTAGGAGGAGCCTGTGGGCTCTCTCGGGTGCTGCACGGGACCCTGGGCACCCGGGATTCCCCAGTGAGCCCTGCAGCGTGAGACACCCCGCACCGGGACTGGGGGGGTTTCTCTGCCTCATTGTAGGATCCTAGTGTAGACAAGGCTCAGGGTGGTTTCACCCGCGACGGCCACACTATCGCCGGGATGGCCGCGAGCCAGGGCCCCCGAAACAACGAGGAGTCCGGTGGCACCTTAAAGACGAACAGATTTATTTGGGCCTGAGCTTTCGTGGGTAAACCCCCCCCCCACTTCTTCAGCTGCAACAAAGCCACCCACGCCCTATTTTGGGGACCACAAATTGGGGACCTAATTTGTGGGAACTTTGACACACCCCCGTCCCTCCTGGGGGTTCCCCCCCTCCCAGCGCCTCCCCCTTTCTGACCCCCAGCTCCTGCACCCCCTCCCGGAGCCTGCCCTTTGCCCCGCTCCGCCCCGTGTTTTACCCCCCTCGGGACCCGCTTTGGCCCCTGCACAAACTCCCCGCCCCGATCCGGGGCTGAGCCTGCTTCGGGAGTCCGTGCAAAGGAGCCAATCCGGAGGGGAACCGGATTCACGTGGGTCAGCGCAGCGGCTTCCTCCTCCGCCCTCCGGCGACCAGCCAGCCCGGCCCCCCACCGCACCCGCCTGGGAGAGGAGCCGGGGACCCCCCCCTGCAGCCCCCCCAGGCCAGAGCACCCCAGGAGCGGCCGGAGGGGCAGTGGTGAGGCTGGGAGGAGGGACTGATGGGGGGCAAATGGCCGGGGCCGGTCACACTTCTGCCTCCAGATCTGATGGGGGGGCGAGGGGGCAGATAAATGTCTGGGCAGGGGGCCGCGCAGGTGGGAGCTTGTGCAGAGGGACCAAAATCTCTTTACTCCGGTGGTTTGCAAAGTTTTGTCCTGGTGACCAGCCTCTGAGTGCGCCCCCCCCCCCTTATAAATTAAAATATAAAACACTTTTTTTATATGTTTAACACCATTATAAATGCTGGGGGCAAAGGGGGGCTTGGGGTGGAAGCTGACAGCTTGGGACCCCCGCTCCCCTCCCCCCCGCTGCCCATGTCATAATGTAATGACCCCCTGAGGGGTCCTGCCCCCCAGTTTGAGAACCCCTGATTTACTCGCTATATGTGGGTGAGGGGCTGCTAATTCTCACCCATCCCCTGGGAGGTTCAGACACCAAAAGGCACCAAACCCACAACAGAATCTTTTAAAAAATCCACATCATTTTTGGGATTATTTTCCTGATTTTTGGCGGCTGACTCAGGAGTTTTGACCCCTCCAGGTGGCTACATTTTCCCCAAAGGCTCTGGGGCTGTGACTCTCCCAGGCCCCCCCAAGCTCGGGAAAGCCAGATTTACCCTGTGCAGGGAACCCGGGGAGAAGTCTCCAGGGTGAAGCTCCTTGCACCCTGGGTCTGGTGTATTTCACAGACCCTGTCCCTCTAGACAGTGGGCGCAATTTCTGCCTAGCCCGAACCACCCAGTGCTTGGGGGGGCAGGGAGGGGGGGTCGGATACACACGTCTCCTGCCCTCAGTGCAGACAGGCTGCGCCACAGAGAAACCTCAGGCCGGCCAGAGAGCTGGGAACTTCCCGGGGAGCACTAGCTCCAGTGGAAGTCAAATTGAGAAGCCCCTTCTGTTTACCGGACGACATTTCTTCGTGCTTGAACGTCTGCACCGAGACTGGGATTGCCCTGAAATCCGCTGTGCCTCATGGTGGCAAGGGATGGGGCCGTGACCACATTAGAGGTCATTTGACAAAGGGGTTCCTAAAATCTAGCCCCTCCCTCCCCCCAAAGATTTTCTTAAAGTTGAGGGATTATCTGACAGATTTTTGCACGCACTTGGAGCATCAAGTCATGGCTCCGATCAGACCCCGAAGGGTCTGGCTGCTCTTCACCCCCACTCCGGCCTGAGACCCATTAGCTCTTAGGAGAAACAATATTTAAAATGTTCTATTCCATAAAGAGTTAAGCTCTCCAGAGCAGCTGGAGCCTGGTGCTCATGCGCTGAATGGATGACGCTGTGCAGAGTATCCCAGTGGGTTCCTACTCCCCCAGCTTTCCTGCGACCTGGGTGGCTGACGGGAATGTGCTGTGGCCTGTAAACCAGAGCAGCACCGCGGCGCTGTACGTCGAGAACCTGCTCTAGGCAGAATTCCGGAAGGCCAGAATTTTCGGCCTGTTGCCGCGACCTGCCTCTGTCCAAAGGGGCTTTCCATGCTGGAGAAAGAGGATACAAACTTACTCAAAATCGTTCAGTCCAAAACTGACTGGGAAATTTTAAAGGGATCTCCCAGAGCTGGACGACAATGGCAGATGATACCCAGCGTTAATAAGTGTAAAGTAATGCACATTGGAAAAAATAATCCCAACTATACATACAAAATGATGGGGTCTAAATGAGCTGTTACCACCCAAGAAAGAGATCTTAGGCTGTCTCTACATTACCACTTCTGTAGGTCAAGGATGTGAAAAAACACCCCCCCCCTGCCCCCCCGTTAGGATATAGATATTCAGGCCTGTCTGTAAATGCCTACATTTTAAGTATTTAGGTGTATGTTTATCATTTAGCGAGTCATAGAGGTATAAAAGAATCAAAATCACTGTCTGCCGGTGTAAGGGCCTTCTCTCACTGTGACAGTCTGAGGCCCTGTGCTTAGGCTAAGGCCTTTGGCTAAGCAACAGAGGCAGCCATAAGATGGGAAGCGACCGGTCACCTCCTCACATTCCAAACGAGTCACATCGAAAGAAGGTGCTATTGGGCTGTTAGGATACAATCCTGTCCTGATAGTGCCTATCGCCTCCAGAGAAAGATGGTTAAAGAAAACTTAGTTTAATAGCATCCTTTCTGGCAAAAAATCACTTCTCAATAGTTGTGGTTATAAAACCCTAATTTCTGTATGTTTTATATGTATGGCCCCCACTTTTCTATTGTTAATCTGTCTGGTTCTCTAATTGTTTCTGTCTGCTGTATAATTAATTTTGCGAGGTGCAAGTTAATTAGGGTAGTGGAATATAATTGGTTAAGGTATAGCTAAAAATATTACTATATAAATTAGGGGCAAACAGAAAGTAAGTTATAATTCAAAAATAAAAAAAAACCCTTAAATTTAAGCTTGCTAAAAGTTCACCCCAATAAACATCAGATTGTTTGCACCTTCAAACTCTGGGTATTGTTGCTCTCTGTTCATGCAAAAAGAACCAAAAAAAAAAAAAGGGTAAAAAAATAAGCCCTCTAACACCCCCCCGGACCGACATAAGTTTCAGCGGCAAAAGTGCCGGTGTGGACAGCCCTCTGTCGGCACAAGAGGCTCTCCTGATGGCAAAGAGCAGCTACATGGGAGATCTTGCTGCAGTACAGCTGGGCCAGCGTACGGTCCGCAGTGCCTTAGGGTCATCCTGGATAGTTCTCCGAAAACATCTGCTCGAGGTGCAGAGACAATCAAAACAGCGAACAGAGTGTTGGGAATCCTTAGGAAAGGGACAGATCACAAGACGGAAACTATCCTATCACCTCTCTATAAATCCATGGCACGCCCACATCCTGAATACTGCGTGCAGTTCTGGTCACCCATCTCGAAAAGATATATTGGAATTGGAAAAGGTACAGAGAAGAGCAACAGACATGATGAGGGGTATGGAACAGCTTCTGTGTGAACACAGGTTTAAAAAACGGGGACCGGGGAGTATAGAAAAGGGACGACTAAGGGGGATGTGATAGAAGTCTATGAAATCCTGCGTGGTGTGGAGAAAGTGAATAGGGAAGTGTTATTTACCCCTTCACATAACACAAGAAGGGGAGGGGGGGTTTCACCCAATGAAATAAATAGGCGGCAGGTTGAAAACAAACGAAAGGAAGTATTTCTTCACAGAATGCACAGTCAACCCATGCTACTTCTCGGGAAGGCCGAAAGTATAACTGGGTCCAAAACAGAATTAGATAATTTCATGGAGGATAGATCCATCAGTGGCTATGAGCCAAGATGATCAGGGATACAACCCCATGCTCTGGGTGTCCCTAAACCTCCAGAAGCCAAAAGCATCTGACACGGGCCACTGTCAGAAGACAGGACACTGGGCTAGCTGGACCATTGGTCTGACCCAGTGTGGTTGTTCTTATGCTCTTCTACAAATAATATTTCTCAAGCTGGTTGTGACATTTGGTGGCTGTTGGTTCAGCAGCTTTGAGAGGCCTGAATGAAAGAGGAAATACAAGTGCAAGGCGTCCCATTAATTTGTATCTGGCCTCTTTAGAAAGACCGTGTTTGCATGTGTGTGTTCCTCTGTCGTAATAAAAACATTATGCTGTCAGATAATACTGGCAATGCTATTGTAAATGTGACGGAATGAAATCTCATCTCGAGTCTCCTTTTATTCCCTCTAGACACTCCGCCATCGGAAATGGAGAGGGACTGTTGGAAGAGGCTGTTGTCATATACAAAGGGTGAGGGTTCAGGTGGTGGTTATATTTAAATTAAGAGAAAATTCACCCCATGAAAACGCCTTTGTTAAAGTACCGTGAACACACAACTCAAACACACACTGATCATCAGAAACGTTGTCACTGACCAGCCCCCAAACACCTTATCTCAGCCCATATGATTCCCCGATTAAGTTTTATTAAAGATCTCTGTGTGTTTGTTTTAATTAAAACCCAGTTATGTCAGTAAAGTATTCCAGGATAGTTAAAGCCGAATCCAATAATCATCCCCAGCAGCACTGGTTCGGTTTTGGTGGCTTTCGAGGGAGGGGCCTATTATTAGGCTGGAATATGAAGGAATTCCAAAGTGTGTCCCCCAAAGACACGGCCAGTGATCACATGGGCACCAAAAGTTTCAGTGGCGTGTTGGAGTGCTTTCCCTTCACCCCCCCTCTCCTGGTTCTTGCCACACAGACAGAAAGCAGAAGTCCAAAGTGCAGGCAATGTGATGTTTATTGGGGTTAGTTCCAAGGAAGCATATCCATACATAAGAACGGCCATACTGGGTCAGACCAAAGGTCCATCGAGTCCAGTATCCTGTCCTCTGACAGTGGCCAATGGCAGGTGCCCCAAAGGGAATGAACAGACAGGTTATCATCAAGTGATCCATGCCCTGTCACCCAAGCCCAGCTTCTGGTAAACAGAGGCTAGGGACACCACCCCTGCCCATCCTGGCTAATAGCCATTGATGGACCTATCTTCCATGAATCTATCTAGCTCCCTTTTGAACCCCGTTATAGTCTTGGCCTTCACAACACCCTCTGGCAAGGAGTTCCAGAGATTGACAGTGCATTGCATAAAAAATACTTTCTTGTGTTTGTTTTAAACCTGCTACCTATTGATTTCATTTGGTGGCCCCTTGTTTTTGTATTATGAGAAGGAGTAAATAACACTTCCTTATTTACTTTCTCCACACCAGTCATGATTTTATAGACCTCTATCATTATCCCCCCTTAGTCGCCTCTTTTCCAAGCTGAAAAGTACCAGTCTTATTAATCTCTCCTCATACGGAAGCCGTTCTATAACCTTGATCATTTTTGTTGCCTTTTTCTGAACCTTTCCCTTCACCCCCCTCCTCTGGTTCTTGTGACACAGAGAGAAAGCAGAAGTCCAAAGTGCAGGCAATGTGATGTTTATTGCAGTTAGTCCCAAGCAAGCGTATCCATGGCTCTACATGCCAGCCGAGCTTTTCCCCCGGTGTTCCCGTCCCAGCTCTGGGACACCACAGAGCCTTTGTCTGTGTCCCTATTCCCACCTCCTCCTCCTTAGCAGGCCCAAATATACATGCAGTACACGCCCCAGTCTCACCCCTTACAACTTATGTTCCATTCTGGGGGGGTCGTGAGTCTGGGGTCTTCATCCCACCTCTTTTGTACCCCATGGGAGGGGTAAGGAGTGAGGTTGTGTTCTGGCCAAGGCCAGGTTTTTCTTTGTGGCTTTTAGTGTTTCTTATGCCTCCCCCCCACAACCCCCCTTGTCCCCCTCCAAATTCAAATTCTCACAGAAACATCTTCCTGAACATGTCGATAAAGTAACAAGTCAGACACACCCTGTCTAACAATAAACACGTCCTGCCTTGAGGAGATCCCAAGCCGAAGTCAGACAAACAATCCTGACACCAGCCTCATTCCTCGGTGCATGCTCACGACAAGGAACAGAAATGTTCTTACTCTCCGGCATCCAGACACCCTTAACTCTGCCCTGGGGTTCTGGGAGGCTTTCACGGGCCTGTTGTGTATTAAATCAAGAGGACGGAGTGGAGTGAGGGTTCTTCTCCAGCATCCTCCCTTCCTCTTGGGCTAGGCTCTTTCCCTTCATGCGGCTCACTTCTCTCGGGCCGGGCGAGGGGCTACCTCACAGAATATTGACCTTACTCTCTGCTCTGGAGCGGCTCCTCCCCAATGCCGTGTCCTCCCCTCTTCTCCCAGGACAAGGAAGGAAGGACCAGCTGGGGGAGGGGGATCCCTAGGGGGTTTAAATCCGTGACCAGCCTCCCCCTCAACTCCCCTACCTGCAGATTCAGTCTCTTTCCTCCATGTCTCTACTGTTCGGTGTCTGGGTGTGAAACAGAGGAATCAGTCAGGTGCCCGGGAGCTCCCCGGGATCCAGGAATGTCCCGGCCAGAACAGGGCTGCTGGGGAGTGTGAGAAATGGTCCCAGCCTCCCCCAGGGCTGGGCTCTGCCCCTAACACTCGGCTTTTCTCTCCCCTCCAGCAAACGTGACTCTGGATCCAGACACGGCCCATCCCATCCTCGTTGTGTCTGAGGATGGGAAAAGTGTGAGACGAGCAGACACGTTGCAGGACCTGCCGGACACGCCGGAGAGATTTGACACATGTCACTGCGTGCTGGGCTCGGAGGGGTTCACCTCGGGGCGACGTTACTGGGAGGTGGAGGTGGGGAATGGGAAATACTGGGCTGTGGGGGTGGCCAGAGAGTCTGTGAGGAGGAAGGGACGGATCAGCCCTAGCCCTGAGGAGGGGATCTGGTCTATGGGGATAAACGGGGTTAAGGGGCATTGTAAAGTGTACCATTTTTTCTCCTCCCCTGGCACCCGTTTGATCTCGTGGGATAACATAAAGAGGATAGGGGTTTCTCTAGATTACGAAGCGGGGCAGGTGGCATTTTTGGATGCTGATTGGAAGTCCCTGTTGTTCTCTTTCCCTCCAGCCTCTTACAATGGGGAGAGGATCCACCCTTTCTTCTGGGTGCGGGGATCCCAGCTCGGACTGTGTCCTTGAGACAAGGGGCTGGGGAGATGGGGAGTGTCCCCCTGGGAATGATAAAATGGGCTTCTCTAGCCTCCAAGATCCCAACCCCTGCGTCCCTGGAGGACTCCCATCTCTCCGAGCCCCTGGACCGCTCCTCTCCCCTAAACGGCAGTGTCTCAGCGTGCCCATAAAGAGCCGGCTGGGGCCTGGCCAGAGAATCTCCTTGCAGCAGGTGTCCCCCGGCCCATGTCTCACCGCGCTGGGTGGCTCTGGAGGGCTCTAGCGGGGCTGCCCAGGCTTGGAACCAGCATCCAAGTAGGTCCAGCGCCACCCAGGAGCGGTCAGACCCGGCACGGGGACCCCCTTAATTCTTTGGGCCACGGAGCCCCTGGCTGGGTGAATTCTGCGGGGGGAGGATTTTGGGGGTAGGAGGCTGAGTTTTGTCTGGGGCTGCCGGTGGGGCAGCTGCTGGGTTTCTGTGATGGGGTTTTCTGAGGAGCTGAAGGGAATTAGGCACCCAAATCCCTTTGTAATTCCCTCCCTGCGGCTCTGTTGGAAATCCCAGCTGTGCAGTGTAAGCTCTTCTCCGAGTTCAGAGCAATCTGGATAAAGATAAAGATCGCTCCATAAGACGTCCGTGGGTTTTGTGTCATTGGCGGCTGGCTCTTTAAACTCCCGCTCACTCACGTAACCCTCCTTGCCAAAGCGGGTAGGCTTCATGGGGCTGGATGGCCACGGTTTAATGGATAACTTTTCAGTGGCAACAGGCCCTTGTGTCTACCTACTAACCGCCCCGCGGTATCTCCAGAGGAAAGAGTGGGCCTGATTCTTAGTTACACAAACGCCCCTGCTGCCACTCGGACAGCGCAAAGGGGCCTGCTACATTACTAGGTGTGTCACCGTAGCATGTAGGAGTCCAGGTTACGGACCTGGACCCGCTGTACAAACACAGAAAGAAAAGATGTCCCTGCACCTGGCAGCTGCCAGTGCAAGGCAAGCGACCAGAGCTGGAGACAGACAGACAGACAGAGGGGGAAGTGCAAGGGGACAAGGAGACGGCACTGCTCAGCCGGACAGGCTGGGATCTCAGAACACCATCGGCCTTTCTGCCGGCCAGTTTCCTGTGGCGAAGAAGAGGATTAGGAGTGAGGAGGGAGCTTTGTGCATCTCTGGGAAGCTGCTCCCAAGCATGAGGGGCCGTGTGGGGGAAAGCAGGAACGTGCTTGTTTGAAAATGTGGCAAGTGGGTGATGGAGGCTGGGATCGTGGGCTGATAGCAGGTGGGGGCTGACCTTTTGGTAATGAATGGGGATAGTAAGTGGCGGGAGGTCAGCTTTATCACCCACCTCTCCGACCTTTCCTGAGTGGGTCCTATGGGAGGGATGCTCCCTGCCAGCCCCGGCCCTCTGGACCATGCCATCGGGCCCCTGTTCCCCCCATCAGCTTCTGGCTTTGCATAACCCAGCTGGCTGCGTGACCTGCCGCCGTTCCACTTCTGAAACATTGCCTAGGAAACCGCTGTACACACTCGCGCTGCATCCCCCTTCACTTCCTCACCTCGTGTCCCGACCTGACACCAAGTGACGGGGCCTGCTGTCAACTGTGGAGGGTGAGGAGCCCCGGTGGGCCAGTCTGTCTTCCACCCGGGTCCTGCGGCCTGCCTGGGATAGTCCTTGGCATCGTCTTCATGAAGCCGTGAGCACGGACATGTGCCTGGTGTGGTTCACCCCCCTCCCCGAAAACTTGGGGCATAAGGAAGACCCTGATGCACATCTGTCTGGAGTGCGCCCGGCTGCAGCCCCCTGGATGCCTTTAAGGGTTCTCTGCTTGGTGTCCCCCTCTGGATCCCTGTTTTTGACCCTCTGACCCTCACTCCTATCCCTGTTTTCTCATTTGTTGCCCTCCGAATTCTTTTGATGCCTGGGTCCAGTGGCTCTTCCCCTTAGGCCAGGGAAAAGGGGGGAGCTTTTGATGTGGGTGGGCTTGTGCCTGACCATCCCTGGCAATTCAGTACAACTGTATGTCTAACAAAATGGGCTTGAATAGTGATATTGGGCCAGGCTTTTGCCTGCTTTAAGTCGGCAAAGCTTCATTGGGTCTAGGCTAATTTACCCCTCCCTGAGAATCAGGCCTCTCTAACTGGCACAGAGACAAGATTTGAACAGGGAGTCCAGCCTTCGGGGGGTGTGCATCGGCCACTGCATTAGAGGAGATCCTTGCTGGGGTTTCCCTCAATCTCTCTTGTAGAAGTGATTCCACTGTGTTTAAATAAATATTAATTGGGTCAGAGAACAAGCAAGAATCATTGTATAGTCCAGAATACTCCCCCCCTCCCCGGACCAGTGGTCAGGGTGTTTTAAGGATGGGGAAACTGAGGTAAGCAGCTTGCTCTCAATATATACAGTAGCAGACCCAGGAATCGAACCCAGCAGTTCGCACTCCACGTGCCCGGGTCTCTCTGCTAGATAGTTCTGGAGACAGCATGCTGTCCGTCACCGCTGAAAAGATTTACACACACACTGGACAGAAAGGGTCTTGTTTACTATGGTGTAAACGGGAAGTAAAGCCGCTGAAGTTAGCCTCCTTGTTCCAGACCGTGAGAGCGGAAGCCAACCCAGCGTTTCTCAAATGCGGCCGCATGCGACCACCAGGGGCTCTTCTTGCGGCCGCAGCCTCCTGGGCTGCGTTTGGGGGCTGGGGGTGTTGGCAAAGCAGAGGCTGCCTGCACGGGTTGGCCGCTACCCCCTTCCAGAGCCACAGACCCCGTAGGAGCAGACAACCAGTGGCCTTGCTCAGCAACTGGCTGTGCGGCGGTGGGCTCCGTCCCTCAGCCGCAGGGTTTTGGGCGCCATCCCTGGACTCGTCACCTCCATCTCCCCTGCCTCCTTACCCACCTCCTCATCCAGGGCCTGACTTGTCCCCCAGCAGGCCAGGGCTGAGCAAGTCTGCTGTGAAACGTGATATGAACAAATAGGTTCACAGGAGCAGACTTACTAAAGAGCAATCAAAATAAAATAAAATAAAATAAAATAAAAATCAAACCATCTTAGTTTTGTTTCTATTCTGTTTCGGTCCAGTAAAGAATAGAGACCCCTGTACATTATTGTTATTATGGAGTCTGCAAAAAAAAAAAAAAAAAAACAACCCTACATAAATAAATTACAGTGACATGGACATGTATATATGTGCATATTTATTTGTTTTTCCTAAAGTTAATGATGTATTTTAGGAAAAACTCTCAGCCCGGCCACCAGCAAGAGCGGCCGCCAAAAATTATGCTGTGAGACCCCCATGACCCATGAAAGGGAGCGAGAGCGAGACCTTGCCCCGCAGAGAGTAGCCCTGTAAGGGCTTGGACTGGCCATAGCTCCTAGCCATGGGGCAGACACAGGCGGCAGAGACAAAGAAGCATTACAGGGGGCTAAAGGAAGAGAGAAATCCCAGCTGGCCTTGGCCTGCCGTCGCCCGAGGGGAGTTGCCCTCCGGTTCCCACAGCCAGAGACTCCGAATCACACGCCACCGCCTCTAAGGAAAGACGAATCCTCCATTCCGGGAGACTCCCGGCCAGTCCTGGAGGGCTGGCAACCCCAGCAGGCGTGGGGGCCGGGGGCAGCGTGGGGGGGGGGGGCTGCGGGGATGCACCCCAGCCAGGACCCCAAAGCTCCTCACCCCATTTGTGGGAATTTTGACCCCCCCACTGCCCCTCCCCCCCTCCTGGGGTGGGCCCCCCCCCAGCGCCTCCCCCTTTCTGACCCCCGCACCCGGTCCCGGAGCCTGCCTTTTGCCCCGCTCCGCCCCGTGTTTTACCCTCCCCCCCCCCCGCCCGGGACACGCTTTGGCCCCTGCACAAACTCTCCGCCCCCGGGAAGTGCAGGGCGCTGCTGCGGGGGGGTCGGCAGCTGGGTACTGAGCCTGCTCCGTGGCCCGGGAGCAGAGAAGCTGTTTTCTCCACGGTCATCGCCCCTGCGAGCAGCCAGCCCCAGCCCCAGCCCCACAGCTCCCGGCGGGGAGGGGAGCCGCGGACCGCCCTGCAGCCCCCCGGCCCTGGGGCGGGGAGGGGGAGAACCCCAGGAGCAGAGGTGAGGGGGGAGGGTCAGGGGTGGGGGGGGGGGTTGGCGTGGGCGATGGGGAGGAGCAGATGTGGGGTGGGGGCAGGGGCAGGACTTGGGTCTCCATCAGATCTGGAGGCAGAACTGATGCGGGAGTGGGGGGGGGGGTGAGGATTGATTTGAGGCTTGGGGCCAGATAAGCGGCTGGGCAGGGGGCCCGGCAGATGTGGGGTGGGAGCCTGTGCAGGGAGACAAAAATCACTGTCCTGGCTACATGTGGCTGAGGGGCTCTGCTAGTTCTCACCCACCCCCTGGGGGTGGCGGGCGGGCGGGGGGGGGTTCAGCTATCAAGAGACACCAAACCCACAAGAGAATCTTTAAAGAATGTTTTTGTGGTTAATGTCCCTGCTTTGGGGGATCGTTTCCCTGATTTTTGGCGGCTGACTCAGGAGTTTTGACCCCTCCAGGTGGCTACATTTTCCCCAAAGACTCTGGGGCTGTGACTCTCCCAGGCCCCCCCAAGCTCGGGAAAGCCAGATTTACCCTGTGCAGGGAACCCGGGGAGAAGTCTCCAGGGTGAAGCTCCTTGCACCCTGGGTCTGGTGTATTTCACAGACCCTGTCCCTCTAGACAGTGGGCGCAATTTCTGCCTAGCCCGAACCACCCAGTGCTTGGGGGGGTCGGATACACACGTCTCCTGCCCTCAGTGCAGACAGGCTGCGCCACAGAGAAACCTCAGGCCGGCCAGAGAGCTGGGAACTTCCCGGGGAGCACTAGCTCCAGTGGAAGATTGAGAAGCCCCTTCTGTTTACCAGACGACGTTTCTTCGTGCTTGAACGTCTGCACCGAGACTGGGATTGCCCTGAAATCCGCTGTGCCTCATTTGACAAAGGGGTTCTTAAGATATGGCCCTTCCCCCTGAAAAGTTTTTCTTAAAGTTGAGGGCTTTTCTGACAAATTTTTGCACACGCTTGGGGAATCAAGTCCTGGCTCTGATTGGCCCCCAAAGGATCTCGCTGGCATTCGTCCCCACTCGTGCTGACTCTGTGCACGTGGGAGCGGGAGCAAGCCTCTGGCGGCCAGGGGGTGCAGCTGGCACAGAGGGGCTGCTCCGAGCCCTGCTGCTCAACACTGGGGCGCTGCCCAGGCCAGAGAGGGTCGCTGCTGCTGAGGGCATCATAGAATCATAGAAGATCAGGGTTGGAAGGGACCTCAGGAAGTATCTAGTTCAACCCCCTGCTCAAAGCAGGGCCAATCCCCAACTAAATCATCCCAGCCAGGGCTTTGTCAAGCCTGACCTTAAAAATATCTAAGGAAGGAGATTCTACCACCTCCCTAGGCAACGCATTCCAGTGTTTCACCACCCTGCTAGTGAAAAAGTTTTTCCTAATATCCAACCTAAACCTCCCCCACTGCAACTTGAGACCATTACTCCTTGTTCTGTCATCTGCTACCACTGAGAACAGTCTAGAGCCATCCTCTTTGGAACCCCCTTTCAGGTAGCTGAAAGCGGCTATCAAATCCCCCCTCATTCTTCTCTTCTGCAGGCTAAACAATCCCAGTTCCCTCAGCCTCTCCTCATAA